GTGATAGCGTAAAAGGACAGGATATTCGTTACTACTGCTTTTGGCCAGTTCCTCTGCACATCATTATGGATAGGAACAAATACATATCTTTCTTGAAGTACCGGTCGCCGGTCAGCAACCAAATTTCGTTTGCCAGTATTTTCTCGAAGTGATGAAGAAGCAACAGAAATACATCTGTATCTGTAGCGTTATCCTAGTATTCGCTTCCTTGTGAAAAGTTTCTAAGGAGGAAATCTGTGTCGTCTGACGGTTACAGAAAACTTTTCTTTCGTCTCTGAAGCTTCCAACAATCACCAGTACGCCGTCAAATGAGGCGTCTTCAAGGTGATGCGACAATAACTCGTTTCTTTCGTTTTCCTCTAATGAAAGGAAATTCTTCCAAATCTGAGGTACCTAATGGAACATCGCGGATATCTATCACACGACGCACAGGAACCAAAATGCTTGCCAAAACAGAAATAATTTAATAATTACACGACGTGAACAAATTTAAACAGTAGCCATACAGTAGGTATAGGTACCTACTATGAAAAAAAGGTTTCCACTTTTACGCACTTTGACGTTAGAAAAACTATGGAATCATTGTTTAAACATTTGTTCACTATTATTATCGTGCCGTACCTCCGTCAGGAATATCATTATAATCCGTTTTTAGATCGAAAAAATCGGTCGCATGAGTGAAAAGATCAACATTTTCGGAAATTGACCGCCATATTGAATTCTGAACTTCCTGTTCAGATTTCGAGATGCCAACATCGATATTCGTGTTCAGCAGGTCCAAATTAGTAAAAAACGCCTATTTGGCCAAATGTTGTCTGAAATGCCCCTAGAACCTGTTAAAACGCTGCTTTTTATAAAAGTGAACCAGTCTATAATTGTTTATTTTCTCAAATACATATAAATTATTATTGGTTGAGTATCACTGTAGTATTTGTTTGAGGATCACTGTATTTGCCAACTCAGGTCGGTGTCGTGCGTGACGAATTATGATTGCGGTCCATCTTTCAATTAGTGAAATATGCACTTAGGGTGGACCGAAAAAATGCATTTTTTTATTTCGAAGTTGTAATAGGGCGGAAAAGTTGCGACTTATATAGACAAAACAAACAAAAATTTTTTTCAAAATCGGTTTACATCTTCCGGTCGCGCAGAGGCCTAAAGTTTGGCAAAAACTTATTTTTTGCAATATTTTTTTCATTTTTGAATTTGAGATTTTCACAGGGATTTTCATAATGTAATAGAGGTAGAGTCTAAAAACATTGTGTTTTAATTTGGTTTATATCAGTGTTGATATTTATTACAAACAAAAACGAAAAAAAAAGTGAAAGTTTCAATATTTTGTCAAATTTTAGTCCTTATGCGCGACCGGAAGATATCAACTGATCTAAACCAAATTAAAGCACAATGTTTTTAGTCTCTACCTGAAGATGTTACAAACTATTACATTGTGAAAATCTGAAATTCAAAAATTTAAAAAAATATTGCGAAAAAGTTAAGTTTTTGTCAAACTTCAGAGCCTTTGCGCGACCGGAAGATATTGACCGATTTTGAAAAAAAATTTTTTCTTGTTTTGTTTATGTAATTCGCATATTTTCTGCGCTATTACAACTTCAAAATTTAAAAAAATGAGTTTTTTCGGCCCACCCTAATGTGCATGCTGGTTTTACAGTTTTGGGTTTCCAACTCATTGTTAGTTGGCACGTGTAAGAGTAGTGGTTTTGATTACTAAAAATTCAATATCGATTTAATTGCAAAATTCTTAAGTTTTGTGTCTGGCGATTAATCGGAAGTTTGTGCCAACTCTCGAAGTAGTAGTCTTGGATCGAGTCAACACTCATCTCGCTTTTTTTGAGGATTTATTGAATTCGTAGTGAAACCGTCATTTGCATAACCACCTGTTGTCTTATGTGCGTTCTAGATTATTACCATTCGAAGTCAAGTTCTCGATTCCAGATATGTCAGAGAAACTGAAATTTTCCGATTTTGTTTTAATTTTTTTCTCGTGTTATTTGAACAGATACAAAAAAAAATAAAAAGCACTTTCTCATTGCCACTTTTTGAACTCTACAAGAAACCGTTGAGAGATTTTCAATACAAAGTTTCGTTTCGGAAAAATCATCAACTTTATTTTTTGATATGGCTCTTAAAAATGTACATACTGTATGGAGTAGCATTTTTTTTATTACGAATACAAGATACAACACATGTATGGCACACGAAGAAAAAAACGTGGGATCTGTTGGTTTCAAAAGGAAAGAACCGAAAAATACCAGTTCTTTGGCACTAATAATAACGGTACCAGTATCGGCGAGGGGCTTATACGCGAAATCGGTTCCGGAACCGGTTTTTTTCGGTTGATGAAGTTTCCCTGCATGGAAATATCCACGGATTTTCTCGCCTACTTGTTCATAAGATAACATTGTTCCTGTTGTTGTCGGAGATATCGATTAATTTAATTCTTATGGCTTTCAAATGACAGAAATCCAATGTAAAGTTACCTACATGTAGTGATGTGGATTGTAAAATAACGATTTGTAAGTTACATAAAAAACGGTTATATTACGCGTAACTTACAAGAGGCCGGTTTTTTTATGTAATTTATGTCTTTTATGAAACTTACGTAACTTACGTTTTTAATTTAAAAAACCGTAATTTTTGTAAGTTACTTAAATGTAATATCTATTTGATACATTTTGATCGGTACTACCACAGGCCATCAACGGTACTACCAACGTAAACGATTCACCGTTGAATTTAGTTTGGTTTAATGAAGATGATANATTACACTGCCTTTTTTTGAGGCCCGAAAAAAAAATTGTCTCAGATCGGCCCGGAAAAAAAAATTCTTATAGAATGTGGCCTATAGAATCCATAATTTCAAACAGTTCCAAGATTGGGCTACTAGTTCAAAAGTTACAGCCCTTTGAATTTTCTTTCGAAATTGGTTTAGTCTATAACTTTTGATTGAGAAGTCTGATCGAAAAAGTACGAATTGTTTTGGATTCTACGCACCAAAATTAATAAGAAAAAGTGTTTTTCCCGGGAAATTTTGGTGTAGTCGATTTTTTGGTAAAAAAGGAAGGTTATACACTGCCTTTTTTTGAGCCCCGAAAAAAAAATTGTCTCAGATCGACCCGGAAAAAAAATTTTCTTATAGAATGTGGCCTGTAGAATCCATAATTTCAAACAGTTCCAAGATTGGGCTACTAGTTCAAAAGTTACAGCCCTTTGAATTTTTTTTCGAAATTGGTTTCTAGTCTATAACTTTTGATTGAGAAGTCTGATCGAAAAAGTACGAATTGTTTTGGATTCTACGCACCAAAATTAATAAGAAAAAGTGTTTTCCCGAGAAATTTTGGTGCAGTCGATTTTTGGTAAAAAAGGAATGTTATACACTGCCTTTTTTTGAGCCCCGAAAAAAAAATTGTCTCAGATCGACCCGGAAAAAAAATTTTCTTATAGAATGTGGCCTGTAGAATCCATAATTTCAAACAGTTCCAAGATTGGGCTACTAGTTCAAAAGTTACAGCCCTTTGAATTTTTTTTCGAAATTGGTTTCTAGTCTATAACTTTTGATTGAGAAGTCTGATCGAAAAAGTACGAATTGTTTTGGATTCTACGCACCAAAATTAATAAGAAAAAGTGTTTTCCCGAGAAATTTTGGTGCAGTCGATTTTTGTAAAAAAGGAACGTTATACACTGCCTTTTGTTGAGGCCCGCAAAAAAATTGTCTTAGATCGACCCGGAAAAAAAATTTTCTTATAGAAAGTGGCCTGTAGAATCCATAATTTCAAACAGTTCCAAGATTGAGCTACTAGTTCAAAAGTTACAGCCCTTTGAATTTTTTTTCGAAATTGGTTTCTAGTCTATAACTTTTGATTGAGAAGTCTGATCGAAAAAGTACGAATTGTTTTGGATTCTACGCACCCAAATTAATAAGAAAAAGTGTTTTCCCGAGAAATTTTGGTGTAGTCGATTTTTGGTAAAAAAGGAAGGTTATACACTGCTTTTTTTTGAGCCCCGAAAAAAAAATTGTCTCAGATCGACCCGGAATTTCTTGTAGAATGTGGCCTGTAGAATCCATAATTTCAAACAGTTCCAAGATTGGGCTACTAGTTCACAAGTTACAGCCCTTTGAATTTTTTTTCGAAATTGGTTCTACTAGTGACGTGAATTGTAAAAAACGATTTGTAAGTTACATAAAAAACGGTTATATATTACGCCTAACTTACAAGAGGCCGGTTTTTTTATGTAATTTATGTCTTTTATGAAACTTACGTAACACGTTTTTAATTTAAAAAACCGTAATTTTTGTAAGTTACATAACTATTTGATACATTTTGATCGGTACTACCACATATACCATCAACGGTACTACCAACGTAAACGATTGACCGTTGAATTTAGTTTGGTTTAATGAAGATGATACAGCCTCTAATTCGCGATCTGGAGCTTCTTCCTCCAAACGACGCGTGATGGCGAAATACCTACTGCTTGGGTATTTTATTTAATACACCAAAATATATAATTTAACAAGTGTTTTTATTTTCAAACACTCACAAAATTCAAAAAGGTTTATACAATATTGAAAAAAACATAAAAAACATAAATGACAGGTAATTTTACAAAAATATTTGTAAATTACATAAAAACATAAATTACTGGGAATTTTACTGTAAAATTACGGTTTTTAAAAAAAATGGTAAGTTACATAAATTACATAAAATACGTAAAAAACATAAACAATTCGTAATTTTACACGTAATATTACGCACTTTAAAAAAACGTGTAATTTAACATCACTACCTACATCTAATTGGAGCAACCTTTCAAATGAGGTACCTATCACCATTGTATATTTATTAGCATATACAATGCCTCTACTGAAAGACGGGCCTCGTCAATCATCTTGTATATTTTCCATAGTTCTATAGTTTGTATAAAACAAATCTTGTATAGAAAATGATAACTGCATCTAACTTCACTTTGATTGTGCGAAGACAAGGACATGCGTTGTACAAATTTTCCTTTGAGGGTGTTTTCTTTAAATTTAAGTTTTTAAGTAATTCTTTAATATTTCTTCGAGGGAAGTAATTGAGTTGACAAATGCGTAATCCGTGGAGTGTTCACAACGTTTTCAAACTGGCTCTTTCTGGTTACGAATGGAGTATTCCTTCTTGAAGAATCAATTTTGTGGAGGTTGCTGAGAAGTAATATTAGGATGTCTGGATTTATAAGTAAACCATCAGGTGGTTGGATACATTCCAATAAGCTAATTTCCAAACAGGGTGTTACGTACGCTATTAGAGTAAGTACTGTTGGTTTGATAACATTGGGGTGTTTAGTCCTTTTTTAGTACATAGGATGTCTACAGGTCAAAGTTTCAATGAAGCAGCTCGAATTCACCACCCGTTCAAGTGTTGCGAAGTAAGTATATCGGACGGGTCTGTACAGTTAAGGGTGTGGTCCGAACCTTTAGTGTTTATCAATATTTGACTTGGGCACCTGTTGAACATTGTGCATTTCAGATTGTGTATTAGTAGAGTGTGTGAAGCAGCTGGGTTAAAAACGGTAGATAAGAAACGTAAAATAGATAAGAAAGTCGTACGGGCTATAGCCGAACAGCCGAAAATGGATTATGCGGGTACAAATGTGAATTTGAATGTTTCTAGTTCGAGTTTAACTCTTACTTCGCTCGAAACATGTCAAGTGATTGCTAGTCATGATATGCCACGTATATCTTTCGCGTCGGGCGGAGATTCTGTAGGTATTGTATTGTGTACACTGTATTTGTATATAGACGGTACTTTTAGGATACTCTCGATTTTGTGGCGTATATTGCTAAGGATATTAATGACTGGCGTGCTTGTTATGTTTTGGAATGTGGAGGTGGACTCGCGAAGGATGTTATTTCTACAATTGGGCAAGCTTTTGAGTTGCGTTATGAACAGTACATGAAACCATCATCTATGGCGTACGTATAATATTTACGACATAGGTGTAATTAACTTTCATTAAACAGCAAAATATTTACCATAGTTAACCATACATTATAATTATTGCATAACTTGTATTTTATCATATTTTAAAAATAGGATTACATTGCAATGATAATGAACCTATTATCCCACATGATGTAGTATGGAATTTGGTATAGTATGAATTCCAAATATTTTAAAACTGGTAAAGTTTAACATATATATTTTAATAGGTTGACAAGGGGGGAACTGAACGCATGTATTAATTTTTTATACTAATTTCAGCTTACGTCTCAGACCTCTGGAATTCACTGTACTTCAATGAAGTACTTGGCAATTACATGAAAGAATATAAAGTTTTGAGTTCTCAAGCTTTTGTTTCTGAATCTCAGATTGCACGGAACCTTGGATTACGGCGGCTCTAATGCAATATATTAAAATGTGTCTTTAATAAACTCGTCTGCACCTATACGGGGTTGCTTGTAATAACAGCCAACAATAGTTTATAACTTAGTTTCTGCATGTGACTAGGAATGTGATTGTACAATTTAACAGTGATCTAATCTAACTAAGAAGAGCAAGGGGGAAACCACCTATGTAATTTGGGCAAAAATATTTCCTCATTAGATAGAGTAATTATATTTCCTTTTCAGTCTAGGTATTTCCTTATATCTTGCTAAGTAAAGCAAGTATTGCCTCGGACTTCCTATACTATATTTTTATAAAACTGTGACTTAATGGAGATATAATGATAAAAATAGGAGTACCACAAGGCTCCGTGTTAGGACCACTATTTTTTGTAATATTTCTGAATGATATACCAATTTGTAAATCCAATCAATAATGATGGCAGATCAAATTATAACTGTAAGTCTTTCCAATGAAGATAATTTGGAAAGACAAAACTGCATGTGTGCTGCTGCGCCCGCGCGTACTCCACATTTTTTTAGTCGATTTTTCTGAAATATATCTTTCAAATAGAAGTTAATAAGGCATTTGTAAATAATTTAAATTTATTCTTACCCCAATTTTGTGTCATTATGAGTTATTAATTACAATAAAAAATAATCTTATTACAAGAACCTTCATAAATGAAATACAGGTAAATAAGAAAAGAAACGTAATTTATAAATCTATACAGAGAAAGTATGTATTATGCATGTATTAAGAAGAAAGTTATTTATTTTTATCAAGTATTTGTTTGATCACAAAAGTGGTTTTCTATTCGGTTTTGTCTCTCAGAATTAAGCCACCATTGTCCGTGGATGCGAATTTCGTAACACCATTTATGTATAAAAATTACTCGAAAAATAAGGAACCAACAAAAGACACACAATTTAAATAATTGTTCTATGAAGTTTCATACGATACATTGAGTAAAGGAAAGTAAATAGATTTTGTCATTTTCACTCAATCGACACTGCAACATCTATAGACGTCCAATTCTCTGGACTTGAGGCTAAAGATACAGTGGCAATATACACCAATCGAGTTTAGCGCCCTCTTTATAAAATTTTGTAAACTCAAAGCATATGCAGTGTTTCGGGCGAGATGTAAATTCACCCTCGAACTAGCAATTCACTATTCCTAGTTCCATTTTCTCTCGGAAATTCAGTTTATGATGTGTTGAGGATATTTTCTAAGTAAGTTTGCGTTAACATGCAGGTTGGGCAAATAGTGTGTGGTTTATTACCTCACTTTTTTTTTATGTGAAACCTAAAATCTTTGATCGGAACTCATAAACAAGGTGATTCATATCAAAAATACAATTTTTTTAATGGCATCCTTTGTATACAGGGTGTTTACGATCTTGTGATTTTGTGTTTATGAGATAATACATTAAAAGAAGGTGATTTGCCATAAAATACCTTAATGAAAGTCGAATAATAAGGGAGCCATGGATTTTTTTACTCTTCGGCACCCATATATGGGTAGGTGAAGTATTGTTACCATTTTTTTTTAAAGTTTTTTATAATTTTATTTTTTAAGTTTAAATTATAAATTGTATCATCTATAAATTATAAATAAGTTACGTTAAATAATGTCATTAATCAATTTTTTAAGTTCCATCACCTGCATTATGATTTCCATTACAATTATTAGTATCGATGTTACAATTTAGGTTTAGTTCTCTTTATTTCTGTCTATCTGTTTTGTGAATGTATATATTTACAAGTGAACTGCTTCGTTGTAATTGGGAACTTCCTGTAATGAAGCATGGAAATAAATAATAATAATAATAACACAGAAAAAAGTCCGTTGTCGTCCGGGTTGTTAGCATGATAACTTAAAATTTAATGGGAACAATTAATTGGGTATTTCTTGGCGCTTGGAGACAACACCGGTAGGCGTAACTTTCTTATTTATGGGCCGATCCTACTGAAATTTTAACAGCAGCACCTTTTAATACAGACACATCGATCGATTATATTAAGAGCGCGCTGCCAGAGTGGTGGGGGAGCTTATTGCCTTTAGTTTAAATTTTTACCATTTCAAAATCAGACGGATAACGGCAGATGGCGCTAATGTTGTCCCAAAGCACAAAACTGCGAGCGCGCATGCGCACTAGTAAATTTCTTATTTTTTGACTAATTTTTGTCAAATTGAACATTCGTGTCAAAAATTGCTGCATCGATTAAGTAGGTACTTCGCTCAATAAAATGCCAAGCGATCCATGGGAAGTAAATACAATAAAAAAGTGTTGGGTCTCAACAGAAACTGACCCGCGAAAAAGTTAAGTTTTAAAGAAACTCATTTTTTCATTTTTTTTTTCAAAAATTTTTCAAACGCGAAATCTGTTGTGCCGCAAAAATAGAGACTATTATCTGTTGTAAAACAAGGACGTAGAAAAAAATCACACACCCCCGGCTAAAAATTTACTCCCCGCTGTAGCGCGGTGTCGAAGCGTTGTTCATATAGTCGCCATCCTGTGGGCCACTAACGACACTTTTAATATTATGAGTTTTTAGCGCCGTGACGTTATACAGTTGTTGTTTCAAATAGTAACCCACATTTTTTATTCAACGGCAAAGTTTTCGATTGGTTACCCATTCAAATGCGAGTACTATCGCGAGCAACGTTACTTAGCTGTTGACAATAAATGAATTATTAATAAACACAGACAAATTTAAAAAAAAGCGCGTAAAGTCGTAACAACATCGGGCCCCAGGTATTTACGAGAAAATGTATCGAATCATCGACTATTGCGAACTAATTAAAATTATTAATTTAATAAAAAGTAAATTTCGTTTTTGTCCGAGTATAACAAAGACATGGAATTCGGAACAGAACGATAATAAATAGCGGGTTATATACGATAGTTTTGAAGCAAGCATTTTTGCCTAGAAAAGATATCAGTTTCAGGCGATGATTTATTGAGGTTTAACTGCACCTGCATAAGTGAGACGAATTGGGGTGTAGCGGCTGTTTCTTTTGTGAGTTGCTACTCCAGTTTTGTAATCTTATAGCGTTTTCGATTGGCAAAACTCGTACTGCACGAGTGTTGCACGAGAAACTGAAGAAATCCATGTGAAAATTGCTCTCAATGGAACATAAATATTCGTAAATATTTGTTGTCATTTGTCCATAACCTCATTTTAGATTTAGGTAATCGACAAATCTCTATTCTAAAAAATGACAAACGATTTCAGTATTATTTATGATAAACGATGAGGAATATAAATTTGAAATTCCTGTAAAGGACCAATTTTTGGCGTTCATTTTAATGATTAAGTGCAACTTTTTGTAAAATAGAAGTTATGGCTAGTTCATCATCTTCGCTATCGCTAGATGACGACAAAAAACTCTCCCAACGCAAGAAACAAATTCAAATTGTCGCACGTTTGTTTTGAAAATTTGTTAACTAGCAGCTCCACGAGCTCTCGGACCTCGTGCGTCGAAATTTGCACTGAGTGCGTAATTGTTGCATCACATTTGCCAATGGAACACAGAAAATTGCCCTAAAATTACCAATAGAACGTAAAAATTGCACTCGTGCAGCACGAGTTTTGCCAATCGAAAACGCTTTTAGATATGAATGTCACTGAATTAATTTATATACAAGGTGTCCCATTTATCTTGAGACAGACGATTATTGCGGAAACTTAATTTTTTCGAATAGAAACCTATTCTTTTTAGTGAATATTCTTATTCTACATTGGAAAATAATAAACTTTTGAAACCACTCTTCCAAAAACGAGATTTTTTATTTGAGCTAGTTATTTTTTGTTACAATATTTTGGTCTATGAATGTTTGGAAATTTTTTAATGGGCCGGACATTTGACAAGATCAATCAAAAATTTTCATACAGAGCTTGTGAAAAAAGACACCTACAAAAATTGAGCAAAACAAATAAATTGTATAGATGGCACGACCAGAATTTTATTACTTCAAATTACTATGTGCTTTTGTTTGTGTTTTTTGGACTTTATCCAAATCTTAATAAGTAAGCGCTGGTGTCTAAAGTCATAAATACAGAAGTACTTCCCAGTGTCTGTCCACCATCCTATTTCAACTGGTTCGACTTGTAACTTTTATTTAGCCATCTTGATACCAGATGCGCGTTGACGTCATACAGATGAGTATTGGCCAAATAGCAATGGCAGATAGTAATCAGATAGCTTGCTGGTAAAATTAAATTAATACAATTATAGTTTCTCTCGAGGTTTCTCTTTTTTTCAAATAAGGGGGTCAAAATAGGTCCATTGCGAAAATGAAATAGAAACCAAAGCTTTGTCTGTTTCATGGATTTTCAAAAATGGGGATTCACTCAAGGTTTAACAGCCAGATGGAGTTGGCCTGTTGCTCCCAAAAAAAAAGTTTACTGTATAGAATGAAATGGCACAAAAACACTTACAATTGTATAAGTACTATATTACTGATAAATAAGTATAAACAGTTTTTCTGTTTCTGCATTTATGTAAAGACTGGCTTTTTATAACATTCCGATATATAGTGACCTACTGCCTGATACATATATGTGCCCGTGCCCGACCCGTGTGGTACAGTTCAGTTGAAGCTGGACTGCAGTACTAAGGATCTCTAATTCGAATCCGGGTTTGGGCATGGATATTTGTAAATGTATAATGGGTTGGGTTGCTAGAACAGCTTTGGCAGAAACCCCGTCCGCTCAAAAATAAAATGCGCTTTTTCTAGGTTATATTCTCTTTTAATATGTACCTTCTAAACTAAATGAAAGAATAGAATTTGAGATATTAATAAACTAATTTTTTAGATTGACAATGGGCCACCCTGGCTCCTCAGGAGGGGATGCGGATAAAGACTACTACAATGATTTACCAGGAAAAGTTCCCCCTGATGTCGGACCTCCTCCTGTACCCCCGCTGCCGGTCGTTGTCCCACCATTCACACTACTACCAACAGTTCCAAGTCCAAACTTAATCGACTTAAATTCCGAACTTCTACCTGCAACGCACGGACGCCATCATGATTACGTCAACGATAGTGTCGCACTTTCGAGACAACGTGATGTTTTCGACATGCGTAAGTGTGCCTTCGACGTATCGATATATTAAATTTAACGTTCTAGAGCCGTTTGCTCAACATCCTCGTATTACATCGGGCAAGTTAGACGAAGAGAAGATCGCCGAACTGAAAAGCGAAATTTGGTTTCATGGTCAAATTAGTCGCGCGGATGCCGAAAGGTTACTACAGAAAGATGGCGACTTTTTGGTTAGGGAATCGCCTGCTTCTGAGGGACAATACGTTCTGTCAGGAATGCAGGAGAATATGAAAAAGCATTTATTACTCATTGATCCTGAAGGTGTTGTAAGTATATGGGGTTAATTTAAAAGTTGCCCATTTTTTCAGACGTTACCGCGTGTTTTATTAAGTTGAATTTAATGTTGGCGCCATCTACCGCACAGAACTGTTAACATTTGACCTACTACTCACTCCATATTTATGTATTAACACTAATGAATCCATCATAGACATTCATATATTTTAGAAATGGTTTTTTTCATAAATATTTGTGGTTTAATTTAAACCTATGGCAATTGATGACACATACAGGATGGCCCTTATTTTCAGCAGTATTCCAGCCTAAAGAACGTCCATCTGTCGTTATTTACACATTTCCCCCCTTAAATTGAACAAAATCAAAATTACACGCAACAAATTTATGCTGTCATTTTTAGTAGAAATAGGTATAAGACCATGGTGAAAAATAAAGAAAGGTGTATGAATCACTGGTTAAACTGTCAAACAGGATCGTAGTGAACACAATATAAGAAAAAAAGATGAAAAGCATGGTCTCAGTCTATCACACTTCCGCCATTAGAGTTTTATGGTGTTTTTTTACGAAAATCACCTTCGCGCGTGTTTATTTCAAAACCCAAGTCAAGCCGAAATACATAATAATACAGAAGATTCAACAGCTTATGAATACTAACCTAAAATGGGTGGGTTTATTTCCGTGTTGACCTACAATACAATACCTTGGAGTGCTTACAACCCGTAAACGGTTTAGGTAGGAAATTACATGGTTTATCATTTGCACAAAAATTTTCTTATCGCCTCATGTTTATCACAGCGTTTATGAATAATGGTGTGGTAAGCATAATGTGAACTTTGAAAGCGATAATTAGTTGATGGAGAGCACGTGTGGATTGGAGACTGGAGTTTTGCAGAAAACTTGCACAGATTTAAATGCTTATTAAAAACGATTGAAGATAGACCCAGACTGCCCCAAGGGACTGCGCAAGTCAAGATTTAAAATCAAACTTTCTCTCCCATACTAACTGAACCACATGGCTGCCACATGATCGTCTAGACTAGACAAAGCTACCTGAACAACAAAATACGAGGACCACTTACTACGTTGTGTTTTAAAATGTCGCTACAAGATATGTGTTGGGCAAATTTAATCAGAGTAACTTACATTGCAAGAATTGTACTTCACAGAGTAAAAATATAAAAATAGGGTGGGAAAAAAAGAACTGCCAAGAAAAAAACCAGTTGACAAATTAATATTAAACTGTACACCAAAAATAATTGTTATTAATTACATGTAGAATGATGTAGAATCATAGGCTCCACTGGAATTTCTAACGAATTAATATTTGACACACATAATATAAAAAGAACAAACATAATAAATTCACATCGTTTGGATATTGGGTAGCCAATCCAAATATCTCACACATCACACAGAGTTGTTTTTAGTGATCTATCTCTTGGTTCAACAAGCACCAAACAAACGTTAATATGTTCCAAGTGTTTCACTCGTCCATCTCTAGAGCCAATCAACCCACTAGTGAAAAATACCTGAACTAAAGCTTTAATAATTAACATGGCAACCAGATAAAAAGACAAATCATGAAAAAGTAGTTTGTGATTCAATATTTAGAAAACTTGCGAAATCTAGCATGCCATGTGCGGTGTTTGCTAAAAAAACGCTAATTTTGGAACTTTTAGGGGTGTAGATCCAAAATCCAATATTTTGGAAATTTGTTCCCGAGTTTGTTCCATTGCTCACTGAAATTGAAAAAGAATGTGTAATTAACCTACTTTCATTTTTTTTAGGTACGTACGAAGGATCGAATGTTTCAAAGTGTAAGCCATTTGATCAACTACCATTGTGAAAATTCTCTTCCGATAATATCGGCGGAAAGCGCCCTAGTGCTTCGTACTCCAATTCCGAGAACGAGTTGACCTGATCGCCATCTGTGAGATTTAATATTAGTATTTCAGTGTAACTTCCTCCTAAGTGCTTACTTTTGTAATATCTAAATTCGATCGACATCCCAGTGTATTGCCATAATAATAGCTAATTCTAGTCATGTTTTAATTATAGTTTGCGAACGTGACTAAACTATTCTCGAGACACACATAATACGTGTATTGAAATTATCAAAAAGGTCTGTGTTCTCAATGGGTGTATTTTCACAATTTTGTCAAACTGTAGTATGAAGCAATAGTTTTCAGACATTTTTTATATGGTCATATTTCAGTCACATATGCTAATTTTGGTATTGATAGTTTTTTTGTATCACTGTGACCAAAAGATCGTGTCAAAGGGACCACCGCTTTAATTGCTAGTATTAAGTGTTCGACCTGGTTTCCCTTTTAAACTGAAGTCATTATACATAGAGTGGTGTAAACTGTCTTTGCATCCAATCAATTAGATCATTTTATAATCATAAAATTGCTCCGATTGGAGTAGGTCTCAGTTGAGGTTATGTTTGAATCTTGAACTGCCCTCAGAGTATAGAGATGCCTTGATGCTTATCACAACGTGCCATCATCTCGTCGTGTTTGTAAACATTGTTTATTTAAACTCGCCCTGTATTATTATCATTTTTATTATCTTTTTTACCACCTGCAATATGTAGTACTATCTACAAATGACCTCCAACTTTTAAGTCGATACGATACACACATTTCTTGGGCATCGAGCAATTGAGTTTAGTCTTTTTCCCAAAAAAATTGGTGCATAAATAAGGATTTAGATCGATATTGGGCAATAAAGTGATGGATACTAAAATTAATTCTTGATAGTTGTCCATCTGGAACCATAAGCTTTCTTATAGCGAAAACCAGAAGTCAATACGAGTTCTTCTTCCCAAGAAAATCGGTATGTAAATAACGATTTTGACATTTTTTGTGAACAAAAATGCTCATGGACCACTTCTTGGGCATTGCGCAATTGAATTTCCTGAGAGAATCGATGCGTAAATAACGATTTTGACATCCTTTGGGTAAAAATATTTTGGTCGCCAAAAATAGACATGTATCATTTCTTGGTCATCGAGTTTGATCGTTTTCCCAATAAAATTCGTGAATAAATAATAATTTTGACCAATTTAGAGCTATAACACGTGATGAATGCCAAAGTTAAAAGTAGATACGAGGTCTAGGGACTGAGCTATAGTACGGAACGACACACAGACGGACGGAAATGTGAAGTCATAAGCGCTCCACTTTCGTGGATTGCGCTAAAAACGAATTCCTTTAGCAGAGCACAGCATATTTCTCCTGCCCACTCTTATAGCGTTTTCGATTGGCAAAACTCGTGCTGCACGAGTGCAATTTTTACGTTCTATTGGTAATTTTAGGGCAATTTTCTGTGTTCCATTGGCAAATGTGATGCAACAATTACGCACTCAGTGCAAATTTCGACGCACGAGGTCCTAGAGCTCGTGGAGCTGCTAGTTAACAAATTTTCAAAACAAATGTGCGACAATTTGAATTTGTTTCTTGCGTTAGGAGAGTTTTTTGTCGTCATCTAGCGATAGCGAAGATGATGAACTATCCATATTACAAAAAGTTGCACTTACGCATTAAACTGAACGCCAAAAATTGGTCTTTTACAGGAATTTCAAATTTATATTCCTCATCGTTTATCATAAATAATACTGAAATCGTTTGTCATTTTTTAGAATAGAGATTTGTCGATTACCTAAATCTAAAATGAGGTTATGGACAAATGACAACAAATATTTACGAATATTTATGTTCCATTGAGAGCAATTTTCACATGGATTTCTTCAGTTTCTCGTGGAACACTCGTGCAGTACGAGTTTTGCCAATCGAAAACGCTATTAGTAACTAATCTGGCTATGGCCCTGAGCAGTCACAAGAGGCGATTCCTGTAAAAGGTGGTGTAAACGATTTTATCGTTTTAAATGGTCCATTTGGGTGCACACCCATTTTCTCCTGGCACAACTTTTGGCAGCTAAAAAAAACCTCAAAATGTTCGGATTTTTATCAGTTTTTCGCTTAAAACTCGAAAACGGTCCATATTTTATGAATAACACTTCTTTTGTAAGTAAATTAAAGTAAACACAATTCTGTGTCGATCAAAAGTGAAAAGATGAACAAACAAACAAGAAAGGAGCCACAACACGCATTAAAACCAGGTGTCAAATTCTTGACAGAATAGCTTCCTAGCTGAAACCAGAAATTGCCAACATATGTTTTTTTACGCATGCATTTTGTTTGCTTTTATTAGAGGGACCTACCATCCAATTTTCGTTAAAATTGCTCCATAAATAAGAAAGTTGGATGTTGCACATGCGCAACTCGATTTTTTGCGCATGCATTTTGTTTTCTTTTATTAGGAGGACCTACCATCCAAATTTCGTTTTAATTGTTCCATAAATAAGAAAATTTCATTTCTGCGCATGCGCAACACGGTTTTTGCGCATGAATTTTGTTTGCTTTTATTAAAGGGACTTACCATTGAAATTTCGTTTAAATTGCTTCAGAAACAAGATCGTTGCGTTTTGCACATATGCAACACAATTTTTTGACTTTGACAATTTTTTTCTCCGTTTTTTGATAATATAACCCGGCCCAATTTTTTGTAGGTTGTACACAGGAAAATAAGGTCTTCCAAATAATAGAATAAAAATTTTAGGTTGCTATTTGAAAAAAAAAGTTCGATGCCGTTACGGCGCTCCAAAATTTTTTTCAAAAATCCGGCCCGTTATTTTTCTGTTCGGTATGCCTAAAACATATATACAAAATTTCAACAAAATCCGTCGAGCCGTTTTCTCAGAAAATTGCCAACAAACGTACGTACGTACATACAGACGGAAAAAATTTTTATTCTTTAAAAGTTGCTTAAAATGGTCTAAAACGTCGACATTTGATGAAATTTTGAAATGTTCAAAAAACGGCTATCGCAATAGCTACCTAGCACATGCTAGGAAGCTAAAAAAGGTTTTAACTCGGTTTTTAATGACAGAATCATCTTTAGGGCGCCTAATTTTATGCAACCAAAATAACTTCTTAAAACAAATAAAGATCTGACAGTCACATTAATTCCGTATTTTTATTTTCGTTCGTGTGCGATAAAGAACTGAAGAAAAAGTTGATATTACCAATTGGTATAGTGCCTGTAAAAGTTTAAAGAGATGTATTTTCTAAGACAAAGCAACAATATTCAAACTAACCAGATGTTTATTTGTTTTAAAAACTTCTTTTGGATAGGTAAAATGAAGCGCCTTTCAGAAGAAATTATGTTTTTTTAAAGTAGACATAGGACAAAAAAAATATACACTGTAGAAGAGTTTCTGTAATTGGGTTGTTGCTCATAATTCTATTACAGTTTCCTGAGAAGTAAGAAGTAAATCGTATTGTGCACGTTAAATTGAGGAATGTGTGAAGCCTGCCTTGTTCAATATCAATCAATCAAATAAATATGATAACGTAAGCCGTATTTCTAAAGATGTAAAGTACAAAAAAAGGAAAGGAAACAGTTTCAGGTAAATGTGGTGTAAATAATTCATTTCTCAAATCTGCTATGATGACTCATGAATCATTGTTGATTATTAGAAGTGAAAATTGCTTCTAGTCTAAGGACTTTTTGAAATGGACCTCAAGTATTAAAATTGTGATCGAGTATTTGACACTCATGAGAACACAGCTTTATTTGTATTTTATTTAAGACTATTTTTTTACAAATAAATGTACCTACTCGTTAGTATTTATTATAGTCATTGTATTCAATCGCCTTAAACTACTTTATAAAATGTATATTATTATTATACCAGAGATAGTATTATTGTTTATAATAAATGAGGATATTTCCTTTACTATTGTAACTATTTTCTTTTAATTATTAGATTTTGTTTAAGAATTTCCCGATTTACTGTTAATAATAAATTGTTGATTTGGGATTTTGCATGTGCTTTCTTTTTTTAGTGTGTCTACTGTTCAGTAGTAGACCAACATAGCAGTTGCAGAGGTGCTTCCAAATAGAATAGGTACTTCTTCCACTTTGGGACTTGCTTAGGAAAGAAATGGAGTGGGTCTTATACACTGGGTTAGCTTGTTCCATACCTCTCATTGAGACTAATAGCGTTTTCGACTTACTGCATTAGTGCGCACTACGTCTGCATTATTTTTAATTGGAGTGTTCGACTTACCACAGTGCAACTTTCTTACCTGTTCAACTTAAGATGTAAAATTGCATTTGTTGCTAGCTATTATAGTCGAACAGGTAAGAAAGTTGCACTGTGGTAAGTCGAAAAATAATGCAGACGTAGTGCGCACTAATGCAGTAAGTCGAAAACGCTATAAGTAGCGCGCCTCCGTCTTCCACAACCCGAAATGCTGCCAAATGTATACCTACACCAATGCCCAGAAGTGGGCTATTTATTACCACAGAACTGGAATCGTTTGCAAAGATCTTTATGACTTCCACTAGCTATGTATCGCAACCATACTGAAATCTTGCTGGCTGAGGCTCTGATGAAGACAACATGAACTCAAAACTACGGATTGAGTAGTTGGGGCATAGGAAGATGGCCGCTGTCGCATTGGAATCAAGCAATCTGCCCATCCTATATAGATAAAGCCAGATTCTCTTGTACCCCAATATGGAAGGGGAGGGGGCACTACCTACTAGTAATCTCTATGAGGAAAGCACCTTAGTAGAGAAATCAAAATTTTTATTTTCAAAATTGGTTCTATCCTAAAAATCCAGATTTAAATGTTCGCCCTGTTTGGTTGCCACCCGTGCCCTTTCACCTCAACCCGACCCTGAGGGAGTTTTCTTGAGTATGAAATTTTGAGATACCTACTATTTTGAAGCTGAGCGCAAATTTTTCTGGGGGGCAAAAATTGCGATTTACGTGATATTAGTTTATCGATTGGCTTGATGTGGTATACATCAGATTTATTTATTTATTTATTTAACCACAAACCATACAGAATAAAAATTCCAATTACATGGCACTGGGGCTCTGAACAAATATTAGGACTTAAGATCTAATTTTATTTATTATTGAATTTAGGGGATCGTGAAAAAAGTCGATATCATTAACTGAGGACAACTTATTTAAGGTGATCAAGATCTTAATAAGTGGGGAAGTTGTGTTGTTAACTACAAAAATAGTATTATTTTGCCTTAGCTTAACAAATGGTAGGTACCTTAAGCAATTTCTTGAAGTAATTCGGAAGAGTATAACAAATTGTGTAAAATTTTGAAGACAAAAATTGAGGAGGCAATGCACCGTCGGGTTTCTAACCTCGTTATATCTAAGCCGAAAGTACTATTAGTACTAGATTGGTCACTAACAGGAGGAGGGGCGAACGTCGGACATGTGTATATATCGTGATCGATCAAGAGCTCACATCAGCTTCTCCCTTAATCAGTGCTTCAGGCAGAGATAGCCCATCATGACCATTACATCCTCTAGGAGGTCCGTAATAAGCAATGTATACATATGCAGTGATAGTCAGGTGGCGATGATGAGGGCCCTATCAGCTGACAGTTTCTGATCGACTACGGCGCTTGATTGCAGACGAACTCTAGATCGGGTAACTTCATAATTTGATCTGGCTGCCAGTAGCCAAAGCACTGTAGAATAGGGGATGACAACAGCTTACTATTATAATCGCCCCCTCCGTTTATCAAGGCCAGGATTAAAGACATGGGTGACCTGTCAATTCCAGTAGGCGTAGTTGCAAGGAGCAATACTCGACTCAGACAGTTCAAGGTCGTATTATCGAGGCTCCTGTGCAAATCTGAGTTTTTTAGTTTCTAAAACTGAATAAGTAGTACCGTCAGATTAGGAAGATCATCAGGACCCCGATCGGGGCACTGGATAGGCAACTATCGCTTGGGAAGCGCATGTGCAGGTTCTGTGGCGAGACAGATATCGAACTACCATGTGGTCTGCGACATCGTACATCATCAGGCTCATTGGCAACATGCAGTTATCTGGAAACGGGGAGGGGTAAAGCAGCTTAGGCTAAGCATCTGGGTCCCATCTCTCTGAACCATAGTTGTAAAGGAAAAGAAAGGGGTAGGCAGTTCGGCACAATGGATCTTTAGTATGTAGTCCTATTGTGGGGGCGATTCTTCCAGGCGCGCCTCCGTCTTCCACAAGCCGAAATACTGCCAAATGTATACCTACACCAATGCCCAGAAGTGGGCTATTTATTACCACAGAACTGGAATCGTTTGCAAAGATCTTTGTGGCTTCCACTAGCTATGTATCGCAACCATACTGAAATCTTGCTGGCTCTGAGGCTCTGATGAAGACAACATGAATTCAAAACTAGGGATATTGAGTAGTTGGGGCATAGGAAGATGGCCGCTGTCGCATTGGAATCAAGCAATCTGCCCATCCTATATAGATAAAGCCAGATTCTCTTGTACCCCAATATGGAAGGGAAAGGGGCACTACCTACTAGTAATCCCTTTATGAAGAAAGCGCCTTAGTAGGGAAATCAAAATTTTTATTTTCAAAATTGGTTCTATCCTAAAAATCCAGATTTAAATGTTCCCACTGTTTGGTTGCCACCCGTGCCCTTTCACCTCAACCCGACCCTGAGGGAGCTTTCTTGAGTATGACATTTTGAGATACCTACTCTTTTGAAGTCGAGCGCAAATTTTTCTGGGGGGGTAAAAATTGCGACGCGGATTTACCTGATATTAGTTTATCGATTGGTGGCAGTTATTTCAAAGGACCCTAGCAGGCGAACTCGCTTTGCTAGACTCGTCCCGTGTGGCGGATCGGGGAGGGACCTGGTGAATGATATTATGCGAGACGGCAGGCCGCAATGCGGTGAATAATCCTAGTGGCTTACAAAACAGTCACTTAATATGGAGGCAGTAGGTAAATGCAGTGTCGTGGCCCAGTACACCTGATGTGTGAGTGGTACTCTACAGTGGGCGCCTCCACCTTGCGAGTGGGGGACGGCTTACACAATTGATTGTGGAATGAAATAAAAGGTGCTCATGCTTGCAAAACAACATTTGGTAGCACTGAAATATGGTGTTGTTGGTCCAACCAACCCTGGACGTATATATTCACGGGACTGTGCTAGCTGATGCGCATTCCGTTTTGTAATATCGTTACCAAAGTCTGACCTTCAGCGCGACTCTATGGAGGGCTTGGTTGGGGAACGTTTGTATTGTCACTGAGTGTGTATAATCAATGGTATGGTCGAGAGCCTTGCCTTGAACCCCCCTCTCTATCTCAACCCCTAAAAAGGTTGATCCATGCCGAATACCATATATATGTGGTTGACTATAGAGAGTCAACCGTTTACTATAACTCCCTCTACATGGCAAAGACTAATACAGATCGAGCAGAAAACAACCCAAGCAACTTCAAGACACAGCTAGGATATTTTGGAGAATGGAATATATGCACCCAGAAGAATGCCCCCCCCCCCGAAGATCTTAGACTTTTTCAAAAACCCAGGGGCCAAACTAGGGTATCGCACGTCTTTGCGTTTAAATAATACGATAGTCTTAGTGCGGTGGTGTTGGAGCCGTTGCGGATTAGCCATCATCTTCTCTCTCCCGGAAAACGAGGCAGATGGGCCGCATGATCCCATTAGTGGAACTTCTGAAGGAATTGGCATTTATGAGTCAATCATAAGATATGGATCCGCGTCATACTCGGAAGCACGATAAATATATGCCCAATATCCGCATCAGGAGGTGGAGGTGTTGTCTCCACTAGAGCCACGCCACGTCAACTTTGGCCATGAAGGCAATTCTGGGACTAGCGTTTTTACACTTAGTCGTGGAAGCGGAGGAAGGCTTCCATACGGCTAAACGATTAGGAACGAGTGGAAGGATCAAAATTTTTGTGCACAGGGGGATCTGGAAGGAACCCCTCAGATCCGATCCCCTGGTCGCAAGGAGAGATGGAGACGAGGCTGTCTCACTATAACCACAAAAAGTTATAAAGTTATTTTTCCGGACAGAGAGCAGTGGCTGAACTCAGATCGCCTGCTTCTCGGATGTGAGGGGCTTGATGTGGTATACATCAGATGGATCACCAACATGAGGGGGGACGGACATGTGTATATAGCGTGATCGACCAAGAGCTCACATCAGCTTCTCCCTTAATCCAGTGCTTCAGGCAGAGATAGCCATCATGACCTTTACATCCCCTAGAGATCTCCGTAATAAGCATTGTATACATATGCAGTGACAGTCAGGTGGCGATGATGAGGGCCCTATCAGCCGCCAGTTTCCGATCGACTACGGCGCTTGATGGCAGGCGAACTCAGATATAGGATATAGGGTAACTATAACTTGATCTGGGTGCCAATAGCCAAAGCACTGTAGAATAGGGGACGATAACGAAAGGGCGGGCGCGAGTTAGTTTGGGAATGTTCGTCTGTCCCTACAGCTTACTATTATAATTGCCCCCTCCCGTTTGTCAAGGCCAGGATTAAAGACACGGGTGACCTGTCAATTCCAGTAGGCGCAGTTGCAAGGAGCAATACCCGACTCATCAGACAGTTCAAGGTCGTATTATCGAGGCTCCTGTGGAAATCTGAGGTTTTCAAGTTTCTAAAACTGAATACCGTCAGATTAGAAGATCATCAGGACCCCGATCGGGGCACTGGATGGCCAACTATCGCTTGGGGAAGCGCATGTGCAGGTTCTGTGGCGAGACACATATCGAACTACCGAGTATGTGCGGTCTGTGACGTTGTACATCATCAGTTCATTGGCAACATGTAGTTATATCTGGAACCGGGGAGGGGTAAAGCAGCTTAGAGGCTAAGGGGTCCTAATCTCTCTGAACCTAGTTGTGAAGGAAAAGAGGTAGGCAGTTAGGCACAATGGATCTTTAGTATGTAGTCCTCTAGTGGGTGCGATTCTTCCAGGGCAAATATATTACCACAGAGAGTATTTTAATCTGTGATATTACGGAAGTGAATTTTGCCTGTTTCGTAGTTTTTTTTTGGGGGGCAAATATTTTCCCCTATAAGTAATGAAATTTGTTGAAATTCGCGTGAAAAAATGTTAAAACCGTCGTGGTTGTGAGAGAGCACATAGCCTAGGGTGCAATGTTTATCTAATACGCCCCTGATTGTAGATAAAAAATTAGAAACTTGATCTACGAAAATTGCTGAACGCACAAAGATAAATTAAATACTAATGGCGTGATTGAGAAGGAGGGAAACAAGATTTATTTTTAGTAGTTTTTGCGGTAGGTGTAAATCCCGAAAAACTCTCGGGGCATTTACGAATTGGGAAACTTCTGTGGAAAGAATACCTCTAACGCTGTTCTTTTTTTAAATAACGCGTTAATGAAAATGGGAAAAACGCGAGATTTGAATGTCGAGCGAAAACCCGGAAACTCAATTGGAGAGTTACGATTGGGCGCTTACTTTAGTTGGCGTTTTTATATACCCGTCCTTTTTTGTCTAAATTGTGTGCCGGAAAATGCTCTTTAAACCTTTCGCACATACGACGTCTCTACGACGCATGATCACGTGATATCTCTGTCCTTGTCTTTTACTACTGGTACATTTTCTGCTGTGAAATCAGTTATTCAAGAATCAGAAGCAAGATGGCTGATCGCCACATTGATTGTAATTATAGTGCACCACATACCACGAAACGTAACCTCTAATAGTGTAGTATAGTGATAAACAGTTACTATTACTATTATACTCGACTTAAATACTATAAAAAACGCGTAAATTATCCCGAAAAGTAGTTCCGTAAATTTCGTTCTTTATATTCTCGTCTGTACAAAATGGCGTCGTTGCTTAATTTTGTCGTGTACCACAATGTAAAAGTTCGAATTCATACGTAATTAATAATTATTTACCAAATTTTCGGATATGTAACGATATCCGTACATCTTAGCATTAATTATAAATATTGTATTATAATTTTTAAACATAGCAAATCACAAAAAATCGCCCTGAAGCAGTCGTAGAATGCGAGAGGTACGTATTTATACTAGAAAAAAGTTCATTTCAGCCCTTATTTCAACGAAATTGCATTCCCTTATTGTTCTTTATGTGTTCCACAGCTGCTGCGTCAATGTGATTTCAAGGGCGTGGCGTTCTAAGAGGAACATATTCTCAACTTTAACATCTTATTGCCTTGTTTACAAATGGTTTTTTCACATTTTCGACCCTTATTTAGGCGAGTTCCACCTTTTTCTCGATTTAGGGCGATTCTAGAGGGTTCAGTGCATCCTGGAAGGCCACAAGTTTGAATTTCTGAGATGGACCCATTTTTGTAATTTTAAGCTAAAGTTTGTGCTTTACAGAACGATAACCTTAAACTGAGGTACGGCGGGCATGTCTACGTGGTTTAGCATCCTTCTTGGGCCATTTCAAAGGTCTGCTGTCTTTCTTTAAGCCTCCAAAGCTTCCCCAATGTATTTTGTGTATTAATTTAGTTTAAAGACATTTTACAGTGAGCTCCCGAAGATGTGCTGATGCAGAAGTAACTGTGTGTTGCGGTTTTTGTTTACTTAATGCCGTGATACTGAGTTGAGGGTGTGGGAGTGGTATTGTGAGAAGCTTTGCAGGGATTTTCTGATTCGTGTACTTAAACTTGCTTTCGTTTCAGACCAGTGAACTATCCGAGTTCGAACATTCCGGTTCTGGCAGTGATAATGAAAGCAAAAGTGATTCTACGTCGAATAACTCCGGTTCGGACAGGTAATGTGACAATTCGCAAGGGGGGGTTAGTATTAATTGGTTCGTCTCGCCGTAGTGATTCGAGCTCGTCCTCATCTAGCAGCTCCGGTTCTAGCGGTTCAAACAAGGAAGATAAAACGTCGCCGGCCCCCAGCAGTCCAACTACCTCTTACTCGAACGCGTCCCCCGAAACCAAATTTAAGAGAAGCAGTACAAATAGTAATAAAGAGGTAGGGTATATTATTCATTCGTCGCTTATACTTAATTATCGTGCTCGACTGCTGATTTAAGCTGTAAAGGACGTCGAAATGCGCCATTGTGGAATCTATCATTAGAACCACTAATTCGCAACCTAAGAGCGAATCTGTTAATTACGATTGCGTTATGAACCCGTTAGGCATTTACAATTGTCCAAAGACAGAATTCGGTCTGTTTAACCAGGTACTCCGTGCGGTCAAATACTGATACTAAATGGCTGATTCTCTTATTTTATATGTACATTATAAAACAATAAATAAAGCGAATTTTGTTCTCTTTATACACATTCCGTGCCTTCAAGTCTCGCTAGAAATTCTTTTTTGTGGTTGTAAAGTCAAGTAAGACTCATCTTGGGCCTACTCTTAGGAGGGGGAACAGGAACATGATCAGTTGATTTGGTGCTTGTAATTACAGTGTCTAATTCTATCTCAACGAGGGGTGTGCCACTTAAGTACGTGTCAGATAAATTTAACGGTAAGATATAGTTAAATATAGCTATAAATATTAAATGTTGTAAGTAAATAATAAACTATCAATTTTGTGGTACTGTACTTGCACAAGCCTGATTGTTTGAATAGGGTACCATAACATTTTTTATATAAATCGTGTATTTAGGGGCATAATTATATTTATTACAGCAAATGTCCACGTGAATTGCATCAGTTCAGCTAGGGGTTTCAGCTCTGGGGATAAAGACCACTAGACAGTTGTGGTTTAAGTTTGCCAGGTAGGGTTAGTGGAAGGATACGCTTGTCAGTGGGGGTGCGAATCCGTGATAGGTTTTACATTCTTTTTTCTTAAGATAGTTGAGATCTTCTTGGCGAAGTGAAACTGTACAATGTAAACCTTTTTTTTGTTCGCTTATAGTATGCGTTTTGGAATACCCTGTACATAAGTTGCTAACTTTTGAATCAAATCAGGTGCCATATATTAACAGTAAACTGCTTGATAATTATAATTAAAAAAAAAACGTGTATCTTTCCAAATATCCAATTATATACAGTGTGTTACAAACAAAAGCGACTTTCTTATTTTGCCAGGGGGAATTTTTTTCAGAATTTCAATCAGAGAAATAATTTACCATCGATTATGTGCATCTTTGCTCAGATTTTTCTTAGCTCAAGCTTAGTGACGCTGAAGTTCAATAATGAGGAGCTTATTTTTCATTCTGATACTCGCTCAAATAAGGTTCGCTTATAAACTCAATATCGTTTTTATGGTATTATTGAGTAATGGGCTGTTTTCTAGATTTAAAAAAACATATGTAGAACACATCATGTATTCTACTGGTGAAATGGAACACCCCGTATATACAGAGTGTTCTTAAATATGATGTAAGTCTGGAAAGAGCTAATTGGTTGGCTTATATTTTGACTAAATGTTCATAATAAACATAGGTCCGCAACCGCTTCCATACCAATCTACAGGGTGTTTAGTCGTACAGTTTTTGAGAAATTTTTCTCCAATTTGAAATACGCCGAAAGGATCATGTAGTAGTGAGAATCTACAGGGTGTTGGTTCGCTACTGGTAGATTGTAAAATAAGAAATTGCTTTTCTGGTTTGTTTGAACACTTTTTGTTCTGTTTTATTTGATTTTGACGGTTTATTCGCCACTGCCCTTAAAAGTTAAAGCCGTGATGACCCGGTTTTTGTAGCAATGATTTTTTACAATACAACAATTTTAAAAACAATTGTTGAAAGTGACCTCCAACCCTTATACATGCATTCGCCCTTGATGCTCTTACATTTTTGAATATTTGTTCTACGATTTCAAGTGCATTTAATATTCGATTTTGGAAGTCTTCAAGCACATTCTCTGGTGTACTAAAGATTTGATTTGCCCCTATAGGAAAAAACCTAGACTATTTAAGTCAGCGGACCTATGGTGATGACTAATATTTAAGTGTTCACTGATTTTTCTGGTGCTAGTGTCTGGAAGTTCTTCTTCTTCATTTAGAACAGCTTCTTCCATCTATGGTGTTCTAACACTACGTGGTCTGCCTGTATATCGTTGGTTTCTACAAGACACCTATGAATATTTGAGAATATTTGTTGATTGCTAAGCGCGGATTCTGCAGGTGTGAGAGAAACACTAAGAGGCAAGCTCTCTGTTACGGTTACGCATGTTATTGGTTCTTTCAATTTAATTTGAATGCGATCAACAGAAGTGCGAGAGAGAGAGCTTACCTCTTAGTTTTCACTTTTCTCTCACCTGCAATATCCGCTCAGTCCATACTATATGTCGATGATTTCCATTCGCGAAAACCACGGATGAAATGCAACACCGCCATTTCAGAATTCGTAAACTTTGCCATTGTTATGACTTGTGAGTTTAAATTATTATTAGATTATTATGTAATTAGATTTAACGAAGATTTATAACAATTTTAAGTCCTACACTTTACAATTTAAACCTTTAATTTATTATCTAAACGAGTCTCACAAATGTCTCTCTTTGACCTAACAAAGGCATTTGACTGTGTGAGCCACGAGTTACTGATCAGGAAACTTGCGAAGTATAAATTCGATGCGACCAGTATAGCACTAATTCGTTCGTACCTCAATGATCGTACCCAATATGTTACACTTAACTCACTTAAATCCAAGAATGCAGCCGTGAAGATGGGTGTTCCTCAAGGATCTGTATTGGGGCCCATCCTATTTCTTGTTTTCATTAATGACCTGTCATCACTTTCAACAGCACCACATCAGTCCCTAACTCTTTTTGCCGACGATACCACCGCCCTTACTACAGCCGACAGCAAGGAACTCCTGAGTAAATCGTCTGAGAAGCTACTGTCAGGAATAACCCAGTGGTTCACGAGCAATGGTCTAAGTACTAATGAACTGAAAAATCAATCCCTGTTACCGGGCCTCCATGATACAGATAAATCTCCCCCAGTGAAACTGTTAGGTATATATATCGATGGCAAGCTGACGTGGGCAGAGCACGCCTTGTACCTGTCCAGTAAACTGTCTAAAATGAACTACATTATAAGAAATCTAAAGCCTAGAGTAACAAAGCAGGTCTTACTACAAGCATACTATGGGTACATCCACTCCACATTAAGCTACGCAGTACTGTGTTGAGGACATTCCGCCCATGCAGCTAAAGTGTTTTCCGTCCAGCGCAAGTGCATAAGAATCATTGACAACCGCAAATATAGAGATTGTTGCAGAACATCCTTCACCAAACTTAACATCCTTACACTCCCATGTATATTTACCTGTCTAACACACGCAAAGAAGGCCCTTCCAACCCTTCGTAAAAACAGTGATAAATATCATTACAATGTACGGACTAAAAACAACCTTGTCGAAGACTACTATCGGACGGTAAAAGGACGAGATATTAACTATTTCATGAAGAAATGTTACAATGCTCTTCCTGACTACATCAGGGATCTGGAAGAACAACAATTCAGAAAAACAATCAGAGTGTTCCTTGGTGCCAAAGCATTCTACAGCATCGATGAGTACTTGAACTACAAGTTTGATGGCTCCGAATAATAAAGTGGCAATTGTGCTTCCCTATACTGTGACGTGTGGAAATATTTTCTGTATAAACCCCACCAATAAATATTATTATTATTATTATTATTAAACATATACAAACACAAGATACAATTTCTAATGCGAACTGTCAAAACTAATAAAGACAATAAAAAGAGATTATCAAAATAAAGCCAGGGTCTACTGGGCCATTTAAAAAAAATTTACTTTAATATAGCCAAGTACCGAAAATGGATTGATATTTTTTTCTCGATAATGGTCTCAAATACCAAAAAAATTACAAAAAAATTTTTATTTTACAATCTACCAGTGGCGTACCAAAAAAAAAGTTCAGGGGTAAAAAATGCAACATGACCCTTGAATTATTTTTTATTTTATTTATTTTATGCCTTTATTTTTGAGTGGGCGGGGTTTCAGCCAAGGCTGCTCTTCCAACTCAACCATTTACAAATATTCATGCCCGAACCCGGATTTGAACCAGGCACAAGATTCAAAGAAAAAATCTTGAAATTGTAACACTTACCTTCTATCAGGAATATGGTAATTTACCTTAATTATTTAATGCTTTGTATCTCCGTAACGTAATAATAATAATAATAATAATTTTATTTGCTTATTTTTTGCATTTAGTGCATTTTGCAACTATGTTGGAAGGCGCTATTATGGTTACTTTCTCCGTCCATCCGTCCGAGCCCTTAACTACTCCTACAGTTTTCAAGATATTTAGTTTGTTCTTTTTGCATTCGGTCTCTTATAGCTCTGGCACCTCAACCAAGAAAAATCTTAACTATTAATGTGCTCACACTGCGCAATGTCAACGCAATGTAGACATTTATTTGAAATTTTAACCACAGATGCTTCTAGTAAACATAAGCATATCACACTTTCTAAAAATCAGATGTGCGCATGTGCAAACTGTGAACTTTCTTTAGAGATATTTTTTTGAAATTTTAACCGTAAAGGCAATCATATCGCAGTTTCTTATTTATAAGAGTTTTTGCGCCATAACTTTTGTGCACATAGTCTGTTACATGACCTTTCGGGAAGTAATAATAATAATAATAATAATGCATTTATTGAAAACAACTTAACTTAATTATACAATTTTCAAGATATAATAAACAAAACAAAACACTGTTCAATTCATGCAAAATGCGTAAAAGTTACTCGCCTTGAGTAATCGACACTTTAAAATTTATATAAATTACCCCATTTGTTTATATTTCAACATCATTTTCTCAGTTAGAACGAACGAAATACTGACCTATCTGCCAATCCTGTAAAAGTAAAAGGAATTCAGGGAAGCGGCACAAAATGGCGCATGTTGTGTCGAACGCGTGAAATCCGTTTTTTCTAAAGAAATTTGTTAAGGCAAGCAACCTTATATTTTGATTTGTTGGTTGCAAAATAGTTCAAATACTTTGTGGAGTTTCGTGGAAATTATACTTTTTGCCTCGGGTTCAAAAGACAGGCGCCAGAGGTATATAGTCTGAAAGTCAAGTCAGGAGTTGACTTGACAACTAGTTTTTTTGGAACTCAAGTCTTCAAATGAAGACCTATATTAATAACTATTGTACTTCTAAAACCTCCAACCGATTGGATCCGCCTTTAATTTATAGGTAGAGTGCTAGCATAAATTATTCATTCTTTCTGAAAAGGCTACATCTTCAAAAATATTACACCGACTAGTTTGTATACTGCTGCATTGATACCTGATTGTAGTAGTGGGGGTACGTAAAGACCCTTAACGTACCCCTCCCCCCCTTAAAAAAAAGAACGAATGCTTACGTAATTTTAAACTCGAAAAATTGTAATATATTTGTTTTTAATTTTTTTCTCTACCAAACTTCTTACTTTAACTGAAATTAGCGTAACTGCTTATTAACTACATCCATACATTGAACATTTTGTCTGAAACACTGGATATATCTTTAAAAAAAGGTTTTTTAGAAGAGTCTTTATGGTATCCAAGATTGCTGCTGTCTGTTTCTTCGAGATCTCAGCCCCTGGCCCACCTAGAGACTTGGGGTTTTCACTAATTGATAGCTGGTATGGTCTGTATCCGAAAGGGATTTTTTAATAGCAACTACTAGTTTCGTTACATATGGAAATTTCAACATAAAAATCCCTTTCGGCTTGGCCAATCAGGTGTAGGTAGATTTCTTTATCCGCATTAACATATAAATGTGTCCACCATTTTGTTCCAATATGGCGGAATTGGCTGCTTCATTAACTTACACCAACCTTTAAAGTTTGGTCGAAATCGGTTCATTATTACGAAAGTTAGTGTTTCTTGGAAGTGATACCAATAGTTGTTAATTAATTTTATAATTTCACTAGTTTGCATTAAAAAAACCCTTATTTTTTGTTAGTAATATCACAGCAATTTGAATTTTAACATTTTAACCATAGACGCTTCTAGTAAAAACGAGGATATAGCATAAATTAAATGTGCGCATGCGCGAATTGCGCAACGTCACTTTTCTTTCTTTCTTTTAAATTTCAAAATTTCAACCATAGATGCCTCTAGTAAAGAATAGCGCACCGATCAATGCAATTACTCACCTTACGGCGGAAATCTTTTTACTTGTTTAATATAACAACATAATATGCTGTTTCCATTAAAAAAAAGTATGTCCCTCTTGACCATGGAAAAATACGCCACTGCCCACAAATTTAAATGGTACATTATTATTTTCAGCTGCTAATGGCAATATACTTTTTGTTTTACATGGGATACAGTCTTTATGTGCGGTACTTTGAGATCAAACTGCATTCAATAAAGTTGAAGTACAATAAGCAAAGATTCATTATATACATTTGTGGTTTTTACAGCTTTTTTAATAGCGTTCCATCTCGAAGCAGAATGTGAATGTTATTGAGGCGTTTTTTGTTACAGTAATTGATGTAGAATATTACCTACTCACGAGTCATGATCACCTTCATCAAGTACGTGATTACATACAATAGCATGATTTTGTTTAAAATCTTGATCTGGCTGATGTCCAAGTAAATTAATGGCTTTTATTACTTACATCAGATGCCCACGTCCGTTTACTTTTTTTAAATAAATGTGGAACTTTGTGCAAGATGAGCTTTCCGGTAATTTGCCAGTAAGTAAATAGCATTCGTATTCTAAGGCTGCGACCATAACGGCTCCTTTGTAAAAGGCAGAGTCCTTGTTCATTGCGCTAGCTACTGTGCACCTAAACCTTCAAGAAGTTCAATTTCTCGGTGCACCCAATGCTAAGGGCCAGGCGCCGTTGTGGCCACGCGTATTTGAAACTATGACTTGTTTTACTTCCACCACATTAGGCTAGATGCAAGTGTTGGTGCGGTGCGTCATTGTGGACGTTGACTAAGAGATACAGGCCGAAGATCAGTCTTACTTGAGGTTTACAATTCACATGGCGGAAACTTTTTTATCTCATCCAAATCTACCCACAAGTACAGAGAGATCATTAATCATTGACTGCGTCCCTCTTATGAAACATGACATTTGCCGCAACACAAATGATACTGTAGCTATACTAAACATAACCTTAAAATGCTTATTATACATCCATTAGTTTTTCCACAAGCAACAATTCCTGTATCGTCAAATCGCTTAGCTGCACGAAGAATGAGGCGGTGTAAGTGCTCGTAATCAACGACAAGTTCAGGATGTGCCTCTCGAAATTCCTTCCCGCACAGGCGAGCCGAATACGTCCTCAGTTTCTGTTGCCGTTGCGGAAATGGACGGCAAAAGCAGCTTATTTTCTTCCAAAGTAAAATGCATGTCGCAGTTGCAGAATAATACAATCTAAAACGATAAAACGCGAATGTCTGATTTAAAATGTAATTTACCCCCCTTGTAGTTGCAAATTGGTAACCTTGACAAAGGCTGTTTTGTAAAACGAAAAGATAATGGAGACAAATGGTTGTGGAAATAAATGGATCAAACGGGAGATGACGGGAGGATTAGATTTAGAGGTTATGTTTATTTAGTATTGGTTCAGCATCAGATGCGTTGCGGCAAATGGTTACTAAAATCATGTTCCATAAGAGCGGTACAGCATCCAATCCAACATTAATTTCTAGTTACCATCTCTCCATCCTTCATGTTTTTGTTCTATTTCTCTTTCTCCTCGTGTTAACGGGTTAAGTGAGAGGGGTATAAAAGTTTCTTTTTGGCGTTGCGTTCTATAACTAAATTTTATTGTAGTTATGTGGAAATAAAGTCATTATTATTATTATTTCAGTGGGATGACGGTTCCGACTTGTATTACGATGGCATACGAAGATCTTCACGATCACGAAAGGAACCAGAAAGGCTTCAGTTTTCGGAAAGTGAATCTGGTGACAAACCGAAGCACTCTAAAAGCAAAAGGTGAGGATCGCCGTTTTAGTAATATGTTTGCAAATGAGTGCTGTTTTAGTGATAACTGGAAATACAACGACGACGACAGCTCCTCGGAATCGGACGAGGAGAAGGAGAGACCTCCACCTAGCAAGCGCGTAGGGGTGAAGCGTTTTGTCCCGAAGCGTAATAATCATAAGTCGCAATATAGTTCCGAAGACTCTAGTATAGACAGTGACGACGATAATAAACGATCTCATTCTAAAAGAAAAATGGCTACGGTTAGTTATAAAGAAGCAAGCGAAGATGAGAAGACAGACTCGGAAGATCTGTTGGAAGTCGAGTACACCGAACCGGTCGAAGTTGTACCTGAAGAGAAGTGCGAGACGATCGAGAGGATATTGGGACAGAGGCGCGGGAAACGAGGAGGTTGATATCATTTTTATTAAAAAAGTCACACACAATATAAAAAATGTATATACAGGGTGTCCCATGCAAAAATTGCAGCCCCTAATTAATCACTTCCAAGAAAATTAACAAAAAAAAGCCTGAAACCTTTTACATCATTTTCTAGGCAATTTACAGCTCCCCCCCTCTCTCCTCAAAAATTGACTATATGACCCATCATATTATTTCAATTATTAAGGCCTGATATGGACAGGTGGAGTACCGTTTTAGCATTTGTGTGGATAGGGGGTGCAAATTATTGCATTATAAGTATAAGATTCTTAATGAGGGTGTTTTCAGTGACTGGTAACGCGACGACGATCTACGCGGTCGAGGAGAACGGCGACCCGAATAGTGGCGTCGACGTTAACGACTACGAGAACACGGAACTGCAGTACCTCATCAAATGGAAAGACTGGGCGCACATTCACAACACTTGGGAGTCGGAGTTCTCCCTAAAGGAACAGAAGGCGAAGGGACTTAAGAAGTTGGAGAACTTCATCAAAAAAGAAATCGAAATCGATCACTGGAGGCGGCACGCCACCCCCGAAGATATCGAATACTACGAGTGTCAGATGGAGCTGCAGCTTGAACTACTCAAAAGTTACAGCTATGTCGAACGTATCACTGGTAGGTTTTGCTTTTTGCTCCTTGTTATTGAAATTTTGCAAAATGGTTGATATATGGGTATTTTTTGGTCAGTGAAATTTTGGGAAAAAAAAGGTATGGAGAGCGCCTTTAAAAAATTACTATCATTCTTACTGTGTGTGTGTGTGGCGATTATTTCTACGTGAAAGTTGCAATAGTTCCGGAAATATTAGGGAATATTTGCATTGCTAAGAACGAATATTCACTCACCGGAAATTTAAGTGAATATTTTCCACAAATTTACGTGAACGTTAACAAGTATACGTGCAGTAGTTCTTCATTACTCAGGTAATTTTTAGGTCCGCACCATGGAATTTTCTCCATTTTTGTGAATTTAGGTTTTTGTGAAGTTTTTGAACCTTCATTCCTATTTTTGAATTTTTGACTTTATGATTTCTGAATTTTTTGGGTTTTGTTTTCAAGGTACAGTTACAGTTTCAAGGTACAGGTTGTGGCATATGAACCGAGAGTGAAAAGTTTTTCTTTTTTATGTATGTTAAATAAACAATTTGAAACTGTTTTTTTGTTTCTAAAAAACGTAACTTTATTAAAAGGTTGGAAGACTGTATTGTAATTAATAGATAATAGTATAATACATTTATCCAAAATTTCTGAATATTCGCAACGATAAATAAATTACGGGAATTTATTCTCAAAAAAATACTGAGAATCCTATTTTTGAAGGTCAAGTTCGTTTTGAGTTTGTTAAAAAAAAACAAGAAAGCAGTCACTGTTGTCTACCTAGTAAAGGTGATAAACAGTGAATGCGTGGCTTAATGTAAAAAAGTGCAGGTAGGTATATCAACAGTTATTGTAAACTAGTAGTGATACTAGATCTCAATATCCGTACCCCATAGAAGAATGGACTGTGGCTAAATGTTGCAAAAATTGTTCTTTACCATAAAAGGGGTGTAAAGAAATTTTGATTTTGGCAAAATTTGCTGTTTGTAGATTACAAGTTCTTTTATTTATTAACGAGTGACTCACCTTGTTCATGATTTTGGATTTTCTGCTCGTCCATCCGTCTGCCCAAATGATAACTCACGGACGGTTTTGAATTTTTCGATTCTGTTTTCAGTAGACAATGGTTTGAAATAGTTCATTGTTTCAAAACCAATGTTTTTGTCATGTAAAGATGCAACTTTGTAAGGCTTGTTTTGAGTTCATTAATTTTTGAGATATTTGCTTAGGTGGAACAAATTTTCTTAGAAATTCAAAGAAATGTTTTAGCTTGAAGTGATATTTACAAAAAATTTCATTTTTGCTAATCAACAACTATGTAGTAGAAATAGAACATAATTCATGTGGGAAACAAATTTGATTTTTTGTGGAATTTTTATGACGAACTTTTTTGAATTTGTATCTTGGAAATTTTTCTGAATGCAACTACATGCGCACTTGTAGACCTCTGGATTATAGATTAGATCATTGAATAAAAACACTATAAGAAGCCTAACCCCGTGGAAATAAAGCGCGACAGAGTTTGAACTGAGAATATAATGGGAACACTGTCAATAGAGTCGATTCTTGAACTGAGAAGAATGAGAATTTGCTTTCCTCCTATTTACCGCAAAGAGAGTTCGGTGGTCACAACCAATGCGGGTGCAAGGGGATTTGTGAGATTTGTCGCGCTTTCTTCCATAAGCGTTAGGCTTCTTATAGTGTTTTTATTCAATGATTAGATAAAGTTATACAAACATGTATTATGAAACAAAAATAATATATCGCGTGATTAAAATATCAAAGGTTAAAGTAAAGGTAAAGTTTTGAAAAAAATTCTTGCGCCATTTTTTATTAATAGTGTGACAATGGTTGATATTGTTAATTATTCAATTCTGTTCCTAATTTTTTGAGTACATTTACATACTTTTTGATTTTATTTACCTAACAAATTATTAACGCGCGGAACAGAGCTCTCATGGTTTTGGATTTTCTGTCCGCCCGTCCGTTTGTGTACATGATAACTCGCGAGCGGTTTCGAATCTTCCAATTCTGTTTGCAGTAATAGCCAAGGGACTAGCTGATTAAATTTTGGTCATTTAGACTTTCTGTCCATCCGTCTGTATTTGTCATTTGTCGCTATATTTACGGACAATCAAATGAGATATTTTCCTGTGATATAATTAAACAGTTGATTGAAGTATGGATAACATTGCTGCGGAAAATTGGTATGTGCAACTAAAAGAAACGAATGACCCTTGGGAAAAGATTGATTGAGAATTACCTTTTAGGAGATCATTGAAGTCCTTTGTCAATGTGAATTTTAAACAAGTGTAGTGGCGCCACCTGTACAGGATTTAGTGCTATGAAAAAAGTAATAATGTAAGGGTTTTTTTGGTTCAAACTTGGGTATAATCAAAAGTCAATTTCAGTATGGCGGTTAGGTATAAAAGGTATCGCACCTATCCTCATTTTTTAAATGTATTATATGTTGATGTTTTTCTCAAAAATATAACACATCAAGGATTATCAAAAAAGATTTAAATTAAATAAAATACAAAAGATTCATAAAATTATTAGATTTTTGAATTTTTAAATTTTCTTTTAAATTTTTGAATCAATGATTGAGACGGCATACGAATTAAAAAATTGAACCAGTTATGAAATGAGGCAACCATGATTCAGCTATTAAATATCAGATGTCGCAGCATGTTTTAAAATCAAAAGATAGTGAAGTATTATCTTTGTAGTAAATAAATTGTGCTGCCACATCGTGTCGAGTAGGTGGTACTATATCTACTTACACAATTGGTTTTTACATGTTGGCTTTCATGACCATGTGCACGTTCCTTTGCTTATTTTAACGAGATACAAAACAGCCGGTTGACATAGATTAAATTACATTTAAAGGTACACGCAAAACCCATTATGCACTATTACCAGAGGTTATAATTCAACAAATTCAACGCATGTTTCTTTGTTCAAATACTAGCCCTTCTGCTCTAGCTCTGCAGTCGAAATCGCAAATAAAATTTTTGACGTTCATTTGTTAATATTCTTATAATTCTTTGACGTGGTGAATTTAAAAGGATACATAGAGGAATTTGGTTTATTTACAAAAAACTGTTTGTTTTTGTTTATTTTGTCATACCTACAATTTGTAATCATTATTTTCACTAATACTTCATACTATGCGATCAAAAAAGAGTTGTTTTCGAGCAACCTTTGGCATTTTTGGTTACCCAGAAAATCGGCGACTCGATTGTCAATCCTTTTTTGATCGCTGGTTATATGAAAAGCTGGAAAAATCCTACTCGGGGGTTATCGGGGGCGTAGAGTCCATCTCTGCCCTCGAAATTGACAGAGGATGCCCAGGGGCGGCCCTACGAGGGTGCAGTGAAGTAAAAAATTAACCGTACCAAAAAATCGTTACTCGGGGCAATTCATGTTTTTTTTTACTGAAAATTCACCCCCGCCCCCCATGATCTCTACCCCTGAGCATCCCCGGAGAATTTGGACAGTAGATCTGGTCTCTGCCCCAACGAAGATAATAAATGCATTTTTTGCACCCCTGTGATTTTTAGGAAATGCACGTCGTAGGATAGACATAGGATAAGGGCAGCGTTACACAATCCTGTAAAATTTCCAAACTGTTTTAACTACCTGTCTTCTTTTTCGGAGGGTCGCCCACACACTTTCAAATCACAAATGTCATTTTATCTTAGTAAACGAGAAAGGAATGTTGGCATAGGTCGCGTTTATGTACTCGTCTTTAGACAAACAACCATTCATTGACATCATAATCGGATGCAGCAGTTCCTTTATAATATTTTTTACAGACGCGCGCCAAGTTAAGTTGTACCTTAGCGACATCTAGAAATAAATAGCTGCACTACTGCTGCTTGCCGCCATTGTGATGATGTAACTTTTTAAAAATGAAATCTTTGAGAATGACTCCTGGCCGCAATATTGGGTTTTAAATGACAAAACTTTCAATATTGAAAGAGGAGGAACAGTTTTACAGCGACTGTACTTTAAAATTCAACAATTGCTTAAAATAAAATATAAAATGTGCCCTCTTATTTTAGCAATATTGTAGTAATTACTGTCTTTTTAGTAAAACCTTTATACAGTCGCTCTAGAGTAATGTATGTAGAATTTATATTTTCAAAAACCAAGCTAAAAAATGATTGTATAAGCCCAGGAGTCATTCTCAAAGTTTGATATAATTTTACAATGCAATTTGTCAGTGGCGACCTCTATTGGTTCTCATGAATAGTATGCCGTCTTTTAATGTTTTTTTTGAAAAGAGAATTTAATCTCATCTTTTTAGATTAAAAAATACAGGGTGCTCTATTAAAAAAATGAGATTAGGTTAAAAAAAATTGAAAAGGATTTAAAAAAATTCAAATAAGTTTCACATGATTCAAAAAGATTTTTCAGAGATGTTTGCATTTTTATAATTTTTTGGAACAATATTAAATTTTTAATTGTTACATTTTTGAAAAGAGAATTTAAAGATAGGTTCGATACCCATTCTAAAAACCGCAGATTATTTAACATTCATTATAAATAAACTATTTTCCCTGATACTCGACCGTTTCCAAACTTATCAGCGACCCTGTAGAAGTTATTGGGTCTTAACCTCATTTTTTAAAACCTGTACAATTTTAATCTAAAAAGGTAGCAAATTAAAAATTCTCTTTTCAAAAATATAACAATTAAAAAATTCAATATTGATTCAAAAAGACAAAAGATTAAAAAAAAAATTTTTTAATTTGGAACATTTATTTGAAATTTGTATTTTTTTGAATCATTTGAACCAAAAATTGAGAGAAGAATTGAATAATATAGGGTACTCCATTTCAAAAAATGTAATTTTGGTGTGCTACAAAATAAATTTGTTTAAAATTGATCATTTGAACCTTTTTTTAAATTTCTAAAAAATCTTTTTGTAATGTTTTTGAATCTGGTGTTGCCTTAGAAAAAATGAGGTTAGGTCCTATAACTTCTTAACCTGACCCCAAATATTATTTTGAAAATAGGAGATTATTCAACAATCATAAAGAAACTTTTGTAATGTTCTGTATCAAATTGTGATTTTACCAGCTTAAGTTTGACCCAAAAAGAGCATATTACTGCTTTGATAGTATTAACAACTACTGAGGTACCCTATAAAAGGATCGAAAATGGTAAATCTATTGTACCATTATGGATATAAATGAACTGGGAGCAAGAAATAGAGAACACATTCGCTTTTGCAATGTTAACGTTCGTTTTGAACTAACATAAACACAAACGAGGGGCTAATTAGGGAGGTGAGTCTGAAGGGTTACTGAGATAATGAGAAAAAAACAATAAAGATCACTGGGGATTTTCAGAGCGTGGCGCATTTTGCCTTGGTTTTGATTTTAGCATAAGCGAACACTTAAATAAATACCGAACTGAGCAAGTGGACATATTATTTTTCAGCAAAATGTTGTAAGCCCGAAGGAGGCACGGACCTTTACATAAAATGGGAAAGCTTGCCATACGCGGACGCGACTTGGGAAGATTTGGGTTTAATTAGCAAGAAATGGCCGAAAAAGATCGAGGAGTTTCGGGAGCGCGAAGAGTCGAAACGCACCCCGTCGCGACATTGCAAAGCTTTAAAGTATCGACCTAAATTTCACGAGGTTAAAGAGCAGCCTTCGTACATGATGGGCGTAGACGGGGTTAGTTGGGTTTTTTCCGTCGTTCCTGATTCGTTTACGTAAACTTTTTTTAGTTGCTGGTTCTTCGCGATTACCAAATGGACGGCCTAAATTGGCTGATTCACTCGTGGTCCAAGGAGAATTCTGTGATATTGGCGGATGAAATGGGTCTTGGTAAAACTATACAGGTAATTAACTAATCAGTTGTAGTAGGAGTAATTTTTAGATTCTAATGGAAAGTATTTTTATTTATTCAGACAATTTGCTTTTTGTACTACCTGTTTCATACGCACCAACTGTATGGGCCATTTTTGTGCGTTGTTCCGTTATCGACGATGACTTCGTGGCAACGAGAATTTTCACAATGGGCACCGGAAATGAACATCGTTACTTATTTAGGAGACATTACGTCGCGAAATATTGTAAGTCGTTTTTCCATCGAAATTGGACACTTACCCAGATTTGCAGATTAGGCAATACGAGTGGTGTTACGACAGTTCGAAACGGCTCAAATTCAACGCAATTTTAACCACGTACGAAATTGTATTGAAGGATAAAGCATTCTTGGGAAGCCTTAGTTGGGCGGTGCTACTGGTTGACGAAGCACATAGGTAAAAATTAGTCGATAATTGGGGTATACTGAGTATAATTTCAGGTTAAAAAATGACGATTCTTTACTTTATAAAGCATTAATGGACTTTGACACAAATCACAGATTGTTAATAACCGGTACACCGCTTCAGAACAGTCTTAAAGAATTATGGGCTTTACTGCATTTTATAATGCCAAATAAGTATGTTGTTTTAATCGAATTGGTAAACGGTATGTAAAACTTGTTGCTCAGATTTCAGACATGGGAAGAATTTGAGAAAGAGCACGATAACGCCGCCCAGAAAGGTTATGGTAAATTGCATAGACAACTGGAACCTTTTATCTTGCGGCGAGTTAAAAAAGACGTAGAGAAGTCATTGCCGGCTAAGGTAGAACAAATTTTGAGAGTTGAAATGACTTCGATACAGAAACAGTATTATAAGTGGATACTTACGAAAAATTACAACGCCTTGAGGAAAGGCGTGAAGGGTTCGACAACCACTTTTTTAAACATTGTGATAGAATTGAAAAAATGTTGTAATCATTCTATGTTAACCAAACCTACTGAATATGAAAGTCAGTTGTCACATGAAGATCATTTACAAGTTAGTAATAAATTGCTATACAATGTTAACAGTTGTCTTATTTCATGTACGTTACAGCAATTGCTCCGTGGATCTGGAAAGTTAGTCCTACTCGATAAGTTATTAATTCGTTTACGTGAAACTGGTCATAGAGTGTTAATATTCTCGCAAATGGTTCGCATGTTGGACATTTTAGGAGAGTACTTGCAGTTACGGCATTTCCCATTCCAACGGTTAGATGGCGGTATCAAGGGGGAATTACGAAAACAAGCCTTAGACCATTTTAACGCCGAAGGATCTCAAGATTTCTGCTTCCTGTTGTCGACGCGCGCCGGCGGTTTAGGCATCAATTTGGCGACCGCCGATACGGTCATCATTTTCGATTCCGACTGGAATCCGCAGAACGACTTGCAAGCTCAAGCCAGAGCTCACAGAATTGGACAAAAGAATCAAGTGAATATCTACAGGCTGGTCACGGCGCGTTCCGTCGAAGAGGAAATCGTGGAGCGCGCCAAACAGAAAATGGTACTCGATCATTTGGTCATTCAACGTATGGATACGACGGGAAGAACAGTATTAGACAAAAAGGGTTCGACCAACACCACCCCGTTCAATAAAGAGGATCTCAATGCCATTCTCAAGTTTGGGGCTGAGGAACTTTTTAAAGATGATGACGATGATGACGAGGAGCCTAAGGTATGTGATCTTCTTAGTGGATGTTGCTAGGGGGAAACAAGTACCATTTTTGGTGTACATCAAATTAATTCACGTTAATTCTAATTAATTCACGTTAATTCAAATTAATTTACGTTAACTCAAATTAATTCACATTAACTCAAATTAACTCACGTTAACTCAAATTAATTCACGTTAATTCAAATTAATTCACCAAAAATTCAAAGTTGTTTCCCCCTAGGGATGTTGCATGCTAATTGCGAATTAATCCTACGCTTTCTCACATATAGTCTCGGACTGGTGGTGGAGCTATAATTGATGTGATGCTTCCAGTCCGGCACTGACTCAATTCAAACGTTTGTAGTTAGTATGAAATTAACAATTTAGTTTTTAATTATAGTGTGATATTGATGAAATTTTACAAAGAGCGGAAACAAGAGATGAAGGTCCAAGTATGGTAGGTGACGAACTACTGTCTGCATTTAAAGTTGCGAGTTTCGCCGCTTTCGACGAAGACAACGAGCCGTCTCCCGTGGTGCCGACCGCCGAGGACGAAAGTAAAGACTGGGACGACATTATACCCGAGCGGCTAAGGAAGAAAGTGGAGGAAGAGGAGAAGAGTAAGGAGATGGAAGATCTCTACCTTCCTCCGAGATCTCGTAAAACTCTACAACAGATTAATCAATCCGAAAGTGACGGCGAGGGTGGTAGAAAGAAGAGGAAGCACACGGAAGAGAGCGGTAGCAGTGGCGCCGAAGGCGACGAAAGTGACGACGAGAGGCCCAGAAAGAGAGGTCGGCCGCCTTTAGCCAATAGAGAACGCATTAAAAATTTCACGGACGTCGAAATACGAAAATTTGTAAAAAGCTACAAGAAATTCAGCAACCCGCTCAAACGCTTAGAGGCAGTGGCGTGCGATGCAGAATTACAAGAAAAGCCCTTGGCAGAGTTAAAGAAACTAGGGGAGCTTCTGCACGAAAGATGTCGAGCTTTTATGGGCGAGCACACGAAGGAAAACGACAACGCGCATCTGGAAGAAGGCGGCACCAGAGGGCGTAAGCGCATACGCGGCCCATCTTTCAAACTGGGCGGTGTCTCTGTAAACGCGAAAACAATGATGGCCTGCGAGGAGGAATTGGAGCCTCTAGACGAAGTCATACCTGAAAGCAGCGAGGAACGAAATAAATGGCTTTTCGAAGGGAAGACGAAACCATCTCACTTTGACTTCGAATGGGAGGCATTAGAAGACTCGAAACTTCTATTGGGAATTCATCAATACGGAATGGGGTCGTGGGAACAAATTAAAATGGATCCCTCACTGGGGATCGGTGATAAAATATTGTCTAACGACGATAAAAAACCTCAGGCTAAACACTTACAGCAAAGAGCCGAGTACTTACTTAAAATATTGAAGAAACAGTTAGATTTGAAGAAAGGAGTGAGCAAACCGAAACGACAAAGAAAACCCCGTGAAAACAAAGAAAACAAAGCTTTAACCAAGGAGATCGTCGAGCACGACGATATCAGCTCCAACGAAGATGCGTCCACTATTGCTACTCAAGCGAATTCTTCGAAGAAACCGATGAAGAAAGAAGATAACGACGACATTCCCAGTTCACTCAAGAGCGAGAGGAAGGAAAAGAAGAAGTACAAGAAAGAGAAGAAAAACTCGGGCCCTATGCATTTTACCGCGAACAACGAACCGAGGGCGTTGGATGTTTTAGGCGATCTTGACCCATCCATCTTTTATGAGGTGAGTTTTTTTTCGTTATTTATTTTTGTTATTTGCGCCAACAAGGTCATCAGAAAATTCTTTTGTGAAGGATTTCGTTAAGTTAAAGCGGCGGATTCAAATGTAGATGGTGTAAATAACTTGTTACCCAGATACAGTAGACCCGTGATTATCCGTGTGCGGGTTATCCGTGCCGCCTTTAATAACGATTAAACCCCCCAAGTGCCATCTTAAAATTCACAAAAATGGCGAGGAACTTTAATTAAGCGTTTTCAACAAAAAAATTTGCGGGAATAGCCAAAAATTTTGTACAATTTTAATTAAAAGTTATGTTACTTACATTTCGTCATTAAGTTGCAGCCGTAAAAGGTTATGTTGACTTCTTTCTCTACTAAATTGAAATATGCTGGTTTTAACATGTATATTAACAGTTAATGTAATAAAAGTAGTAATAATAGGTACATACAATACAATTTTAGGCTTAATTCCACTTATACACAAAGTAAGCGACACTTCCGTCACATGTGGATACACTTTAGCTCATACGTCAAAACTTGAATGCCTTAGAAAAGACCAATGTCAGACAGCGTTACATTTTGCATTTGGCAAGGATCGCTTTTTGCATATCGACCACGAGAGGAGAAACCGTATGAGTCGAAAGGGAAAGGGACATCTTTCATAGACCGTCTCTTTGTTAGCGACCGCCAATTAACTTCGAACACCTTTTCTGTATCAGCCGATGACTAGCATCGACCGCCTCATTCACTTGAAACGGTAAGGGACATCTTTCATAGACCGCCGATTAACTTCTAACGCCTTTTTTATATCAACCGATGACTAGCATTGATCACCTTATCGCTCGAAAGGGAAAGGGACATCTTTCGCATTGACCGCCTCTTTGTTAGCAACCGCCGATTAACTTTTTAACGCCTTTTCTGTACCAGCCGGTGAGTAGCATCGATCGCCTCATCACTCGAATGGGGAAAGTCTAATACTGATTCAATTTGAAAGACTTGGCTTCGATTAACTTCCGAAAATTCCAAAAAATTACACAATAGCACAAGTAAGAAAATCTGACATGAGGACTATATCTGGGTCGCACAAGGGATTCAAATAAACATACAATTAATCGATTGACAATGACAAAAGTTTATTTCGAAACACATGAAACAATTAACAGAAAGTCCCTGAAAGAAAGATAAACCTACAAAGCTTGTTTGGATATAATATCCTGCAGGCAGGTGGTCGATAATTAAATTTTTTTAAGTTTTTGTGTAATAATCCAAATAATCTGGTCGTAAAAGGTTTGAGATATTCAGACGCACTTATCAAAGACCCAACAACATTTCAGAAAACTTCACCTTTTTTTTTATTATTAAACGATACTCCACAAACTGGCTTGGTGAATAAGATGAAACAAATTTTCGTTGGCTGCTTGGACGGTAAACACTTTTAACTAAGCAGCCGACTGCTTTGTTTACTTAACATTCCAGTATAAAAAGGAACACCACTCCCACTATACAATATTGTTCTTCGGGAATCCCCAAACAACACCGCCAATCACAATTAGACTTGATAACGCCAAGTTCGAAGGAACACATCCCCGCTTACGCCGAAAAAACGCGCACATCTGATCACTCGTTATCTCTTAACAGCGATCAAACACTTGTCTTCCATAAATTTCGTCCGATAAAAACTCCTTATCGCAAACGACCAGATGTCCCTACATTACACAATTAGAAAAATAATGAGACACAAATTCAAACAGAATAAAACTATGTGCATATTCGTAAAGGATCCTCCAGATGTACGCTTATTAAATTGAAATATTGTCATATACCTACAGGGTGTCCGGTCTACATGACGTTGTTCACACAACAATATATACATACATTTGGATGATCTGTGCTTCGTCCGGTCCCGTGGAGCACGGATAATCGGGGTTCTACTGTGCATATATGTTATAAATGGGGATGCGATGCGGGTGGATAGTATTTTGCTTGAATTTGGCGGATTTTGGTTTGGGCTTTCTGGATAATTCGCATTTGTTTTATTGACGGTGTCTTATTTACTAAGGGCGTTCCAAATTCCAAGTGCAGTTTGGGGCTTATCTGAATACAGTGCCAAACTTATTTTGCTGATATAATTAGACCATTGCGCGCAGGTATAACACATACAGTTTCTAACCTCAAAATAAATAACAACAATCTATAAATAGTTTATACGAACTAAATATTCATACGTGCGATATTAATAGATATTATTAGGTGTTGTGACGCGCAAATATTTCCAAGCGAGTTTTGCAATATTTCCGGAAATATTCGCGCACCGGAAATTCTCGATAAACATTTCCGAAATTTCCAATTTATATTACCAGTTTTGAATCCGCCAACTGTCGGACTTCACGAGGTTACGCAAACGTGCTTCTTCTTTTCATTGCTCGGGTATCAAATTTTAATATTTGCACCATGGAATTTGGTTCTTTTTCGTGGGCGTTTTAGATTTTTGAATCTTCATTTTTATTTTCGAATTTTAATAGTGAGCTTTCTTTAATTTGTCTGGTTAAAAACGAAAAAAAATTGCATCAGACATACTTCATATTATATTGGTATACTCGCAAGCGGATATACCATGAATATTCGTATAATACGCAAAGATGTTGAAAAGGTTATTCAATGTTCAATAGAGGTTCCTACCATGTTGAGTACATTTCATCTGTACATAAATAAATTCTTTTTACTCCGAGAAGGTTTCTGTTTATTAATCCTCTGTATCTTAGTAACTGTTTTTACAAAGTACTTAAATGTTATTGGCAATGAAAAAAATTATTTTTGAAATCTCAGTTGTCATAATAAAAAAAAATTGTAAGAAGGGTCGACAAGTAACCTGTTTTTTTTTTTAATTTTTGAAAAAGTTTCCACTACAATTACAACTAAAATAATATTTACTCGTACAGCAGGGCGGGCCGAAAAAGGCGAAAAATTTTTTTTTGAAATCTCAGATGTCATAGTAAAAAAAATTGCAAGCAGGGTCAAGTAATCTGTTTTTTTTTTCAAATTTTTAAATACTGTTTTTAATTACAAACCAGAGTAATAATTACAGGTACGGTAAGGGCGGTTCGAAAAAAGCGAAAATTTTAAATCTTAGTTGTCATAGTAAGAATAGTTGCAGAAAGGGTCAAGTAACCTGTTTTTTTTTTTCAAAATTAAAAAAAATTTCTACTTTTAATTACAACCAAAATAATTACAGGTACGATAGAGCGAGCCGAAAAGGGCGAAGAAAAATTATTTTTAAATCTCGGGGGTCGACAAGTAACCTGTTTTTTGTTTCAAAAAATGTGGGTACCGGATTACCAAGCGCTTTTTAAAATCACGTTTAGATACAGTTCTTTACTTAATTTTCAACTCATTATTCAGGCAAAACTCTATTAACTTGGGTTCCAAATTAACAAAGAACCCACCCCTAGGGGGTTGGGTGCATATTGAGTTCAATCCACTCTCACCACTGTATTTTGTATATACATTTACTAAGTTACTACATTAGCTTTCCTCCATAAAACATCCAAAATATTGACTTTTATTCTCAAACAAAGGCAACATTTCTCTTGGATTTAATTTCGAACCTAATGAGTCAATTTCTAGAGTGTTCACCAAACACTTTGTAAGTTGCTTCAGTCACTAGTTTTACCCAGCTCTCCACGATTTGCGTGTGAGATGGAGGGTATTCCATACCATTCAGCGCACAGTAGGAATTAATTACAGTGCAATCTTGATAATCCGGCTGTGCTTTAGTCCGACACATTTGGTAATCCGGTGTCTCTGGGATGACAAAAAGATGTCATTTTTGAAATCGCAAGGTAACAAAAAAATTAATGATTCTTTCTCCTTGTGTGAAAATTACGTATTTGTTTATATTTTGTTGTTTTGTTGTAATTTTCTTTATACAATTTGTAAGCATTTTCGTTTTATAGTAAAATTGGTGTTTTTCGTATTACTCTCAATAATCCGGATTCTTTGATAATCCTGCGGTTGTGTGGTCCCATATGTGTCGGATTGTCAAGATTCTACCTTCCCGAAAACTACTGTCAGTTGCTGTTGGGATAGGGTCATCAATTCTCCATTATAGCTGGGGGGTATTCTAAACCCCCGGTGCCCTTAGAACTCTCATGTATGAAATATCTCTCAGAAAAGAACAATTTCATGGGTCTGAGTGGTATTATTCCATACCACCCAGACACAGAAGAAATCATTTACCCTTTTTCGAAAACTACCATATCAGTTGCTTTTCGGTCAACAATTCTACCTTAGATCTGGGGGGGTATTCCATACCTCTTAGACCCCTCGGTGCTACATTCTCCCCCAAAACGTTCAACCCTTACAACTTTCATGTATGGAATATCTCTCAGAAAAGAACAATTTCATGGGTCTGGGGGGGTATGGAATACTCCCCAGCACACAGCAGGGATCATTTACCTTATCCCGAATACTACCACAAGGGTTGCTTTTAGGATAGAGGGTCATCAATTCTCCCTTTTAATTCCCCCCTTCCCAGTAACGCCCGCGAAATATTGAGACATAGTTACAATTTGTTGTGCTGGTACCTATCGTTTTTTTTTGCTGTAGAAATTCTCGAGGTTTTGTGAATAATGAGTTGCAAGTACATCTAAATATGACTTTAGAAAAAACGACTGCATGTGTGCGATAGTGGTCTAGTGGCAAGGATGCTTCCTTGCAACCCGATGGCTCAGGTTCGATTCTTTGCATAAAGAGTTTTTTTTTTTCCAAAAATGCGTATCGCAATTCAGCGGAATTGGACATTATGCTATTTGTAGGTTGAAGATTGTCTTCTTGAATTTTTTTGAAAAACAAAAGTTGTACAAAAATGCGGCGGAATTTTCCCGAACAGATAACGCGTCTACTATTTATAAATACTCGCGCGGGCCATTCGATATTCGTCCGTGGGCATGCGGTGGAGCAGCCCTCGTTTAGATTTATTCTCGGAAGATGCTGAATATTCTTCAATATCATCTTGAAGGTTATCTGCGATCCACGTGTGATATTCATTAGTCTTGACATGATTTATATAATGTTGCCAATATTCAATTGTCACCTTTTTTGTCCTTACATCAGACGATCATTAATTTGTGCCTCGTATGTTTTTTGGAGTTATTTACAAGATGGCTACAAAAGACAATGATAGCGTTATAGGTAGATGCGTAAAGATAGTTAAAGGAGGTGTTTAGTCCCTAAGAGTCCATATTGCACTTGGAAGTTTGAACGCTCTATAGTGACGTTTTAACATACTAATTGAGGGGGGTTTCAAAAAGTACCAAAACTGACGTCAAATTTAAATTAGTTGCTGTTTTGGCGTTTGGAATAATTCGCTCCTGTACAATGCGCCTGTTTTACTTAACCGAGATCTTAACAAAATCAAAATGGCGGATTAGGTTACTTTGCATCTATTGAACGTTTTGAGTAATTCGTTTCTGTTTCGTGTACAGCGCTAAGTTTTATCAAGTCTCATTTTAAAGATGCATTATCAAAAATGATAATTGGGGGCTATTCGCACTTCTTCACGCGCGGGGCTTATATAATGTGGTACCATTTTAGTATGTATTACTAATTACAATCAAATTGGAAATTAGGTACCTACCTATTTCTGTTGTGAATCAAAGGTTCACAATGTCTAATCATAAGAAATGAGCTACATTTGGCCATTTTAAATAATTTGTACCTGTTCCATTCACATCGCGATCATCTTACTTACCAGTGATATTTTAATAATTTATTATTAATTAAATACAGTAAACTTTTGTTTTGTCCAGAATAGCCCCAAATTACTTTCATTGCGCTTGTTACAGGCAATTAATTAATGTAGCAACAGTACATTCTATTAGAAGTAGTTTATAGGTAATCAAAATTATCAATTGTTTGTTCCTACCCAATATGAAAAATTTATTTTCATTTATTTGTGTGGTTAATATTTGCGATATCTAACGTAATATAAAATATTTCATATCTTTTCGCACACCTTCGCTCAATCGGCCATACATTCAAAAATTGTAGGTACACAATTGACATTTTTAAAAATTCTAGTAAAATGTTTGTGCCAATTTGGACAATCTTAATATCCATAAAATTATTTAATTGTGTTCAATTTCTTTTATCGCTTTGTATGTAGATTGATCTGTAGCGCTATTCGCAATTAACGGGATTATACACGTACTATTTTGGTGGCCTTAATTATTACAGTTAATGCAATATTGTATTTATCAAACATATACAGTGCGGTTTTTTATTATTTATTGTTTTTTTAGTGTTTTATTTTTCAGGTAATATTTAAAAAAATATTAAAAATATAGCGCGATTGTTGATAAATGATTTGATACAATGTGATTTTTGATTATTTTTTATTTATTGCTTTTTTAAATATGGTTATTAATAAATTTAGAAAATTACTGATTTCTCATTAGTATATAATCAAACTCACATTGTAATTAATAGAAAATGGTTTTACTTTTTCAGGTAATTTTGTTGTCACTTTGCAAATTAAAAAAATATTAAAAATATAGTGCGATTGTTGGTAAATGATTTGGTATTATGACGGTTTTTTTCCTGTATATTTACTTCAAATGATCCAGTTTTTTTAAATGATTTTTGATAAATGACTTTGTATCTACTTTACACTATATTTGATTTTATTTGTTCTATCGATATTACAAAAATTTTTTTAAATATGGTACAATAGATGGTGGATTTCGGACTTAAAAAAATTGTTATTTTCCCAGTGTAAAGAAAAAATGCGACCAGTTAAGAAAGCATTGAAGGCATTAGATAATCCCGATCAGTCATTATCAGAATCGGAACAAGTCAATCACACTCGTCTATGTCTATTGCAAATAGGCGAGCAAATAAACACTTGCCTGAGCGAATATAGCGATCCCGAAAAAATAAAGGAATGGAGAAGGTAATTCAAAAAAATTAAACTTATCGCTTATCACACATTTTTACAGTAACCTATGGTATTTTGTTTCGAAATTTACGGAATTTGACGCGAAGAAATTATACAAACTCTACAAGCGCGCATGTAAGAAGAACGAAAAACCAGACAAGAAGAGGGAAGAGGTTAATATTTTAATTATCGCGCTTTTGGGGATATTTCAATTTTTTATTTCAGGGAAAGCAGAGCGCAAATGCGAACAAAAACAGAAAAGATGAAAGTGAAAAACAAAACAACAAAAGAAGACACGAAGATGAAAGCGATCGTGATCTGGATAAGGATTCCAAATCGCATTCTGAAAAGTAAATCTTTTTTTTTTATTAATTTTGTATTCTAATTTTCGTTTTTAATTTAGAAAAGAAAAACGCGAACGCAACACAGATAAAGAACGAAGTAAGAAAACTCGCGATGACACTTCCGACGAAAGCCACGACTGGTCAAAATATTCTCATAGAAATAAAAAATCTATGCCTCCCCAAAGAAACAACTTCTGGGGTAACCATGAACAATTTGAGCGCGGTGGTCACAGTGATGTGGAACGGTGGAGTAATAATCAATCTCGTGATAGGTTTAGTAGTGATCATAAAAGAGATAGGTTTGATTATCAAAGGCTGCCCGGCTATCATCGTGAAAGAGACCATGCAAGGCCAGTAGATAAACGGTAAGTTTGCAAAGTTTGTGTCTAGGGTCAGAGATTTACAGTTTTTGAAAAGTGTACCAGCTATTAAAGAGGAGTGGCGACAATACCCGAGGAGTGGTCGAGATACAGTCGCAGGTTTAAACTCGCGACCCATGTACAATGCTCACTACGGCCCGAACTTTGGTCCAACTTCTGCAATGTATCCCCCAAACGATCAGCCATTTCCCAGGGACCGATACTCACCCGGCGAATGGCGACCACCCGAAAGAGACTACCGTCGTGAATATGATCGGCGTCAACAGTAATTTAATGAAAACCCGTTATTTACGCAGTGTTAGTGATTTCGATGCGGTTAAGAATTTGGAAAATTATTTCAAAAATTTGATTTCCTTATTTATATAATCAAAATTTTGTTATACCTAATGTTTTTGAAATTTTTTTGATAATTTTTCAAATTTTTAACCAACGTCCGCATTTCATTACCAAAATTTTTATAGTTATGTATGTATATATATACATCCATACTTAAGAATCTATGCATGTGTGTGTGCATATAGTTGAATTTGTTCAATTCAAACCAGACTGGAAAGATTAAATGTATTGTGAAAATGTAATTCTCACATTGGTGTATATAATTATACAGCTATCTTTTGATATATTGGTGTGTAATTCCTTTAAACCTTTAATACGCCTGTTGAGAAGAAAAAATTTTAACTCCTATGGAGTGTTCTTGTAATTTATTGGGGACTTGGTCCTTTTTGTCGCCTAGCGATGTCGCTCCGCTATTACGTCATAGTATAATAAACGTTTTCTATAGTCTCTTGAAGTTTGTATAAAAATTGTCTCGTGTATGATAAGTTACCACTGATGTTTTCTGAAAAAGAAATTGCAGAAGTTGGGCACAATGAAAAAGGTCGGGACGTAGATTTAATTGTACAAAAATACACTATTTATACGCTGTCGAATTTTTTTTTGTAATAAACGTTTTATATAAAAGTTTTTGAGTTTGTTTCATTTGCGTTTTTGTCATACTATCCATACAGCTTTTTGTCGCAATATTGACGAAAACCGTATGTTTTTACATTAAAAATCCTTAAGAAATACTAAAAAATCAAAAAGTCTTGTTAAAAAGTGTATATATTCACATCGACCGTACGGGAGCCACATCCACGGTGCTGCTTTCTGATTGGTTGCCGCCATTCCCGCCATTTATGTTGCATGCAGATGTAAGGCGCGCGCACGATTCGAATCCCATTTCCAATAATAGATTGATTTCTTATTACGGTTAAACAATACGCAGACTATTAATGAACGTTTAGAAGTATTTAATTATTTTTCCGATTGTATTACTCCATTACCTGACACTTTACAGAATAATGCGGTAATGAAGGAAACGTGCTCGATATTGATTCACCTAAATAAGTTAATGCAATATGAATAAGGTACAGCCTGTCACGAAACAACGCACGAAGGAAAACGTTATCATTCATTTTCAGTGTCTGAAACTTTCCCAGTTGGTTAAATAACAAAATTATTAATGTGCTAAAATGTTATTTTTTCAAGTATGGAAGAAGAAGTAAAGGTGACTTTGAATGTAGCCGCTTGTATTTTCCCGCGCTATTAATTTCAAATATTTTATTTTGCTAACGGTGCAGTTTTTTAAATTAACAACTGATTGGTCTTATTACAACACCGAAAATTATGCTAAGTCTGGAATTTTTATTGATTATTTGAGATTCGTAAAATAGAACCACCATCTTGTTTGTAATTTAGATTATTTTTATTTTACAATTATGTACTTAAGGCGGCAGATAAGTTAAATGTATTTGAGGTGCTTATATTAGATTTTTTTTTGGGGCGATCAATTAGCAATTGCCGGAGGGATCAAGAATTTCAACGTCATCGCTAAAGGTAAACAATTTTGTTGGCCGAATGGAATGTTAATAATTTACGTTGACAGGTGCCGAAAGTCCCTTTATGCGTTTTTGCGTTATCGCCATCGTTCGCTATTCATGGATGCGATTCTAACGTATTGCCGGCGTCGCGGCGCCCTGCCACCACTTTCTGGCGCCCTCTCCCTCCAACCAGACCGCGCTTTAAACCTCACAGAACTTATTCTTACGCATTAGCCAAGTATCTCACAGGTAGGTAGGTAAAACCTGATGTGGCGTTTTTGTTTGTATTGAAAGCGTAGACAAAGAAAGCGCGTTCACTTCACTCATAAATATATCGAACGCAACGAATTTATGTACTGGAGAAGGTAATTTTGTGATTTTATCCAGGGCGAGTGAAACGCAGACAGCGAGATCTCCTGTCATTGCAAGAAGTATTAAACACCCTGAAGGAAGTGTGGATATCGCCCCAAGGTTTTTCAAAAGGGTGGGTAAGCTATTATTATAATTTTTTCACCACGCTTTTGAGCACCTACGTGGATGTTACCACAAAATTTAAAACTGCAAACGCTTGTTTTTGCGATGTAAGGCGACAATAATAATTCGCAAGTAGTTCTGCCTGTGTGCATTTTTTAATGAAGGATGTTCAGGTCAGCTACCGCTATCTGGGGTAAAGTTTAGAGGAGCATTTTAGATTTTATGATAAATCTGTGTACCAATTTATAAGTGTGCATGGCTTTTCTAATTCTCACTGAAAAATGCCTATTTTGATTAATGCGTGCCTACTTATTTCATTTGACTATAAATAACGCAAATATGCGAACAGCTATGTTCCATGGCCTAAGGGTTGGGGAGGTTCCCTAAGAATAGTCCTTTTTTTTTGTAAAATGTATGCCAAAAAACTGGGACGACGTTCACTGGGTACGTTAACTACAGGGTCTCTTAATCTACTCACAACATTCACCACAAACAAGGGTGGATACCAGGGTGCTATATTGAGATGTGGTGTGGGACCTTTGGGAGATATCAGCGTCAGTGTCGTTCTTCCCATTAGTGGCGGATTACTCGCCTGCTAACTGTCTTTGTAAGATACAGAAAAAATCGCCCTCCTTGGTGCAAGCCTCGACTTCATAACGAATCAAATAACAAAAAAAGTAGCTCACCTGCTCATATAAGATAACGATCCGAAAGCGACACAGCCGTAGGGACGGACGAACGGACCCAAGGAGGGGCGCACAAAGTGACCACAACAGCACATTTTTTATTTTTGTGGAAAGGCTTTAAGACCTTGGCTTCGCGTACTCGCAATCCATTTTCCGACATACGTTTTCAATTTTCTTTTATAAGAAGCATCTTCTGTTAAAATTGTGCGAGGAACTAAGCCGGAAAGTCCGTGCACAATCGGTTGCTTTAAAATAAAGCGAAGAATTAGTGAGACCAAAAAAATAAAGATTAATTAAATGAAAATCACAATTAAATCAATATACCTATGTATTACCTAAATTTAACTGAAACGGCGGAATGGTACGAGAACTCGAGCGCCACCAAGGGATTTAACCTTGCCCCTGGTCTAAACTAAAACAAAATTACGACGCACGGCCCATGCGGCGAGCTCCCTAGCGGGAATGAAAGCAACAAAACAATTTAATTACCGGTGTCTTACGGGAAATCAAATGCATTAAAACGAAACACGAAAGAGGTACGATGCAAGAAAAAGCAAACGCTGTAAATACGGTGCGATACATTTAATGCAAAAGCAAAAACTAAACGGTATGAATGCAAAATAAATTTGCGGAAAGTATCAAAAATTTATACGGCGGTTGTAACTAGCAAAAATGTAGAAGGCAAACAGATCCCCATCAAACAACGGCGTTACCTTTTATAAAACTTCGGCAATTTCATGAAGGGAACGCCGGTTCAGTAAGAACTTTCGGACGCAACCAAGATAATTGAAATATCTTTACGGGAACGGTTGCAAACGGCGAATTAATTACAGTTTTTGTTTACGGTAAAGGCGGCTGAAACAGAACTCTAGAAATTAAATCAATTATTTTTACCTTCGAACTCCTAGAACCGACATAAATACCATCGACATGACACTTTTCGTAACGAAGGGTCTCCAGATACCGGATGTTCACGTACCAGGTGGTCATGAAAGTATGTAAACTTCAAAGCGGAAAATCGGTGCTTCGTTACAATTGGTCCACAAATAAAAAAATTAAATTTGCGCATGCGCCACCTATTTTTTTATATACATGCGCTCATATTAGACTTTCTTTTTCGCGTAATTAGCAATTTAGCGATTTTTAATTTCCTGGCTCGAACTTGCGATCACCGTTTTTTTGGACATGTTTCATCAAATGTCGAGGTTTTAGATCATTTTAAGCAACTTTTAAAGAATACAATTTGTTTCCTTCTACGTACGTACAACATGCGTACTACGTACGTTGGCAATTTTCCGAGGTAACGGCTCGACGGATTTTGTTCAAATTTTGGATATGTATATTCGGCATACGGTAACAAAAAACGGGCCGAATTAAAAAAAAAATTTTGGACGCCGCATGGGCATTGATCTTTTTTTTTTGTCAAATAGCAACCTAAAATTTTTATTTATGTATTCGAAATGCCTTATTTTGTGTGTTTAACCGAGAAAAATTGTGCCAGGTTTTATTACAAAAAAACGGAGAGCAAATGTTAAAGATAAAAATTTACAGATTTCGCAATCCATGCAACCATCATTGGAACCGTATAACACCATATACAAAACACAAGTAAGCCTTATTCACCCGGGATCCCTGGCTCCACTTTTTTAATATATGAGTTTTTAGCGCCGTGACGTCATACAACTGTTTTTTTTTCAAATAGTAACCCACATTTTTATTAAGGAGCGAAGTTTTCAAATAAGAGTAGTATCGGAAGCAACGTTTCTTGACTGTAGCCAATACATGAATTATTAGCAAAAAATGCAAACAAAAGTAAAAAAAAAAGCACATGAAGTCTCAACAACGTGAGGCCCGAGGTATTTACGAGAGAACGTATCATACAAAAACTATTGACTATCGCGAACTAATTAGAATTATTAATTTAATAAAGGGCAAAATTCGTTTTTGTCCGAGTATTAAACAGCGAGTTATAGACGATACTTTTGAAGCAAGCATTTTTGTCTAGAAAAGATATCAGTTTCAGGGGATGATTTATTGGGGTTTTACCTGTAGCTGCATAAGTGAGACTACATCAATGATTGGTGTAGGGTAATGTGGTAAACGACGTAGATTTTCATGTAGATTTCGAAAATGCAATAAAATACAGGGTGCAGTTCTATTTAAAATATGAATATGAGAGTTCACATGCGGTAAACCCGGAAGTGAAATGATCATGATAACATTTTCTTTTGATAGGTCATGAAAAACTATGTTGGATCATCAATGAGAGCCTGAGTATTTTTAGGTGACGGTTTGTGTGCAACAGCCTGTATATTCCAAAAAAATAATTTTTTTAAAGCTTTTTTGTGGTATCCAATATACGTACTTTAAATACGTGGTCAGTGCCTTACTTCTGCATGGTCAAGGGGTCGTATTTTGTTTTAATTATTTATTCTCGAAGTGTACCGTTTAATAATAATGTGTAATGAAAACTAGTAGTCGTGTACACCATTTAGCTTGTGAATCAACTTAAAAAAAATGCCCCCCTTAACTATACAGAAGTACGCCACTGACGTTGTTACACGCTGGCTATTAAACGATTAATTAAGTGGACTGTATGGAAAGGAAATCGTTCTCGTGCCTTTTCTAATTAGGAAATTGACGAGAAATGTACTTACGCAATTAAATTAATGTGTAATATGAACCTTTCTTGGCAATGACCGGCAAGAGGCGTTCACTGTAAAATTCAAATTGACAGGACATATTAATAGACCAAGCGACAAAGACGGACGGTGGGGTTGAATTATCAGCCACGAGGAATTGACGGTTGCTAAATGGTTGGGGCTAACTGCTGATGGGCGACAACGACTAATTGTTAATTCTAATCATTGATTGTTGTCGACTTTCTTATTTGGCGACAAATGACCCAAGTTGGTGGCTTTGGTGGATTTCTAGCACGCAATCTACCCTTCTCGATTTCCATTTTTTTTTCGCACATGGTTGTTTCCAAGCCCACTTTAAGTAAGTTGGGAAGGGAAAACGGAAGGTAACGAGGTAAAGTGGTGCATATGGTAAACGAAATGTTAAAGGGAAAATTAAATTACAAAAGGGACGCAACAGACGTGTACTGAAGTAGGTAGATGGTAGAAACTTTTTTTGGATACCATAAAAATGTTGTTTTGAAGATGTTCCAGACAAACTTTCCACTCTGTATAACTAGTGCAAGCTATGGGTATAATAGATTTTAGGTTGTAGTACTGTTTCAGCGATAAGGCGAGTAACTATAGCGCATTTTCCATGGATTGATCAGCAACTACCTTCCGAAAGGTCATGTAACGATGTTTAACAAGGAAAATAAGTTACAGATTAGAAAGTTGACATTGCGCATGCGCACACCCGATTTTTACAATAAGCTAATCTTTATATTAGAAGGATATATGTTTAAACTTTCGAAACCTATCTGTTTAAATGAGGGCAGTCTGCGTATGCGCACATCTGATTTTTACAATATGCGATATGCTTGTCTAGAAGCATCTGTGGTTAAAATTAAAAAAAAATCTCTTCAAATCAGAAAGCTAAAAGTGGCCATACTAGCGCATTCGCCTTCCAACATCAGTTGGAAAATGTTCCAACAGTAAATTTGTATCCAGCTAATTAAACTTAGAATTAATCGTATTTCACTTGCAGGTAGCTATTACTTTTTTTATTCCGTATATGAATACCCGAATCGTTTATTATTAAGTGTCCATTAACTGGTCACCTGGCATATCGATTGACCAAATATCGACGGGGATTATTAGTTTTTTATTTTTAAATTAATTTCATACTATCGGTAACGATACTCTGTAATTGTATGCTCAACTGCTTTCGAGTCGCAAACACGTATGTTTGGTTCATTAGCTGCGTCAAAGAGCAATTTACCGTTCGATCTATAAGGGTCAAAAGCACCCTGTTGTCCGTTCCCATTGTGAAAAGCGCTATATCTTATTCATAAATCGAGAAAACAGTAGGGTATTTCCTCATAGTTCTTAATTACTTATATTAATGGTTCGATTAGGTGGAGAAGTATATATATTTAGCCTCCACTTCGAATTCTTACACACCCCAAGTGATGCTGTTAAAATAAAATGCAACATATGGCGTATGATTCATTTTTCGTTTTTAATGAAGTTCATGGGAGATCGTGCCGCGCTTATTTTTAGATTGGTTGTTGTTAATCAGATTATAGAAAAATTTGATTGCGCTACGCTTACCCCGAAAGGAAATCGTGGACGCAAAAACGGGAAAAAAATTCTCATTACTAGGAACTTATATTAAACTTCCTAAGGTAGCTTCGACTGATATCTCGAGATTAAACTTTTTTATTCCCACAGCGAATATTTACCTATAGGAAAATCTCGATGATGTCGGGGAAAATTTCGACCAGTCACGTATCGTGCCTAAATGAATATAAAATATGATTCAGGAATTGCACTTAAAACGAGACGGAGATCTTCGGAATTCATATGAACAACTCCCGGCGCCAGAGACGCTAGGGAAAATGTAGCAGTTGAATACACGCGTTTGTATCGAACGTCCAAAGTGCTCATTAAACCTAATTTCGCGTAGAACGTTAATATTGATTAAAGTTTTTTGTTTTTTTCTAGCACGTTTTCAAAAATGGATGAACGTTTTTCTCGAAAAAATATCTCATCGTCAGATACTTCATCACCGGTTCTGCTACGAAGACGTCTGAGCGCACCTGAAACGATTATGAGAAAGTAAGTGCATTTGTAAGTCTTTCGCTTGCATTTTCTTTTGTATAAGTTTCAGCATTGATTATTTACGTGTAGCACGCACGGGGGTGTTTATGCAAAGTTCTCGTGCTAAGGTTTTCATATGCAGGGTTATTATGTTTCCGTCTTACATCAAGGTTAACTCTTTCAGTATTTTGGTGCAATTTCAATATTGTAATTCCACGCGTTGAACTTCTCATCAAATGAAACGAAAGAAAAATTGCTTTTGAGAAACAAGAAACTCATGCAGGACTTCGGGATATTCCACAAGGACTTACAGGGTCGACGATTGATTAAAATTTCTGTGTTGTCTCCGATCTGTATCATATTCTGCAGATTTATTTATGAAAAAGCTCCCAGATATACAAATTTCAATATCTTTCAACATGTTTTTATTTGAATTGGCGTCGTGCCAGAGAATCTCAATTACTATACAAATCATCCGAACTGGACGTATAATTAAATATTTTATAGGGATCCATCTTGAACGTTTTGGCTTAATTATTGCTGGGGTCTCTGTGTCAAGTCGGTCATTAATTAAGTTGTATATTGCTGACCACGTGTATAGATAAATTGGAAATGTTAATACAGGTCAATGTTTGTTCCAAATTACGTCCGAACAATTGCAGTATTATGAGACCTTTTCGCTAAATTTAGACTACAACTATTTTTGATGTTTTTTTTGCATAACTTGTTGGGTTTGGAATCCACAGATTCATCCCGTCACAAGGTCACATGTAATGACTACTGATGCTTCGATGAACTAGGCAGCCTAGCACAATCATGCATAAGGGAGTGCCAATATGTTAACTCAAGAATCATAAACAATGACCTTAATTAATATAAAACGCTATCAAATTCAAGTAAGCTCACTTTACCATAGGCATGGGGGCCTAGTTTCTTAATTCTCTATTGTCATCTGTGTTTCATAGTTAGCACCACCTCGTTACATTCTGTGCAACCCAGCTGGGTTCGAATACCTAGGTAAGTGCTGTTTCAGAAAGCCAGATTTCTTGTCTGCGTGGCGTTGGTCATATTCCCGGAAACCAAAATGACTGCGAAGTCGCGGATGATTTAATATAGAGAACGCCTTATCTTCACTATGGAATAAAACTAACACTCAGACGCCCGCTTTAAATTTCTTGTATTGATTTTTTTTTTAAATCCATGAATCCGTTGCAAGCGATACAGAAAAAGAGATGGGATCGGCTTTCTAAGTATGTCGATTTTACGATAATACTATACTATCCTCTTACAAATTTTGGAGAATATACAGTTTTTCTGTTTTGGAGTGCGTGTTCGGCCCCCTAACGGCGATGACATGAAATGCACAATTTTCATTATTTTCCCTTGGCCACTTTTGCTTGGTGACCGGGTACCTATCGTCTGCGAATGTAATGGATGTTTCAATTTTATTTCTTCTACTGCATTCTACCCCTAATTAGATGGGGTGTGATATGTAACATGCTAACTGTCAGGCAGTGATCCTCTTCTGGCCTCTTAAGAAAAGAGCAAAGGGCAACTCAATAATCAATAAATTATAAAACGGTTCTTATTTTCTTTAAGGCACCTCTGCTGCAATAGAATGACATATTAGAAATTGGGGGTTTGAGGACAATCTTGTAAAGTAAGTGGTTAAACCACATTCATTCACAGAAACATACTTCGTATTGATAGGGAATATTCAACTTTATTTATGCTCGTATATGAAATAAATTCAATGTGCTAAAGGAAAATTGACTGCATCTTTATAAACACCGCATACAATAAAAATAAATCGAACTGCAGTACGTTAATATGTTCAGAAATTTCAGGCGCAGGGCTAAAACTTTGTAAGCGCTCGGTGTTCACAAAAACACCAACTTAATGAAAATCGCAGGTAGGAGATATTAAATCGCGTTTATATAAATATACACCATTAAATGGCGTTTGAGTATAAATTTCTGGTCAATAGTTTTTTTATCATCATTCTATCTACGACGCTAGTTCAAATATACGGAAAGCGGTCACACTACAACGCTATAGTACAATAATTGTTTATGCACTGTCCTCGATGCGCTTTCGTGGTCGTGGATGCTTCAATATGGAATGGTTTGATCCCGTCCCCGGGACTTGGAAATGGTTCGGAATGTACGGACCGATCACACTTCTGGGCGTGGTTTCTCGTTGATTGTCTCTTGGACGTTGAATTAAAGTTGGTGCTCTGCACGGACCGCTCACAGAACCGGCTGGCTATGTTTCGTAATGGACATTTTCACGGCTTCTTTCTTGAAAATGCTGCTAAAATCTTCGTCGGCAATATGATGACAGATTTATATAGATGCTGACTCGCTTGTGGCTTAAATTCTTTATTTAGGATCCGCCTAACGGACTGGCGCATATTTTGCACTGCGTGACGCATTTTTACAAATTACTTAATTGCCCAACTCGCGCTAGCGTAAGCTTTTTGTCTTTCAACATTCGGTAACGAGTAGACGTATTTAACAACTGTTCTCGCTTTTATTTTAATTAGAATGACTCGCTTCATTTATCTCATCCAGGATATACACACGTACTGCAGTATCTTTCGTACCTGTTAACAAAAACTAGCCAGAAATGCCCAAAACTATTGGGAGAGGAGTAGGGTAACAAAAACAGGATATAAACGAAACTCGGGACTTTCATCAAGTACCCTGTAACGGGAGCCCGCTGCGGAGTCGAGAATTTTCTGTATGATTGTTTTGGAGTTTCTGGTCTTTATCTATTCAGTGTAATCGATTGTTTCAAAATTTTACCTGCGCAGAGGCGGGAAAGAATAACCCAACCGCAGAGGTAAAAGGCGGAAAATCAACGTATTCCTTAAATAGCAGGTGTGTTATCCCTTCGGATAACTTCACAGCATTTTTGTACAACTTTGCTCTTCAAAAAAATGGAGAAGACAATATATGCCGAATTGGGATCCAAAAAAATTTTAGAAGACATTATATGCTGAATTGGGATACGCATTTTTGTAAAAAAAAAACCTTATGCAAAGGATCGAACCCCAGTTATCCGGTTGCAAGCCGAGTATCCTTACCACCAGTACATTATGGCACAGATTCAATCAAGATAAAACTTAATTCGTATTCCGAACTGGTTGTAGGGAAGAGTCAATTTTCGTATGAATGCGGACGAGTCTGCCGTTTATAAAAAATATGCATCCTGGAAGCAGCAAGGAAGTGGTTGTGGTCTTTATTGTACAGGATTAGACAGATATTTTTTGGGTTTATTTAGCACATGTCAACCAACTCACTTTACATCTACGGAGCCGTGTTGAGAAGGGGAGCAAATTAAGGATTCATTTTAGCATGATAGCATGAAGGAAGGAGTTTTAGGTCGCGTCGCTTCTTTACAATCCCTGTTACATTCTGCCGACTGTTCAGGGTGATGGCACCCCTCGAATACCTTAAACACCGGAGTTAATGGAGTTTCCGTCTCACTGGTGCGTTGTCTTTCTTGCTTTAAATTATTCACCGGTGACTGTCGGGGTTGTATGAGTAGTAATGGTTGTATAGAAATTAAATTTAGGGAATACGCAATTGAATTACTGTCACATTCAAGTACAGGACACTAAATTAAGGGGTGGTTTGTATCTTCTATTTTGGATAACCATTGCTGTGCGCAATTGCGTGCGGTCAACTACACCACCCACACCTTCCCATCAGCTAGCTCAAATAAATCCAAAATTGAAACTTAGAATTTTTATGATCTCTATCCGTACGCCTCTGGCATTCGTTACAAACAAAATCCTAATAATGACTCGAAATTAATAATTTAGAAGACACGGTAGCCTCGATCAACTTCCGAAAATTCCAAGGAATCATTTTCACAAATTTTGTTTAACACTTGAGCAAAATCTTGGGCACAAATAGAAAAATCTGAACATGAAAACTCTATCTGGGTCGTACAATGTTTTCAAATAAACACAATTAATTGATTGACAATGACAAAAAATGTATTCTGTAACACATGCACAAAAAAAACCTGAAATAAAGAGGGACACAAGCCCGTTACATTTACTCGAGCTGGTTTGTTCAATTAAAGGACAAAATTTCTTTCTTATGGGTATTCAGACGGAAAACACTTCAAACTTTTGTTGATAAAATATCGTTCTAAAATGGTTTCCTTAACTACCTACTACCATTGCTTTGCACGTACTTTAACTTAACTACATCTGTCCATATTATTCTGAATCCGACGAAGCTGCATCTTCAAATAACCAAAAAGGTCAATTACTTGACAAAATTAGCGGTCAGAAACGTACACGCTGTTTTCCCGTTGCGAGACGAATGGCGTACGGCCTGAGGCTAACAAGCTAAATTTTTCTTTCTAATTTCGTATTTATCAGAACGCCACCGCCACAAAATGATCATACTCCTACTGCCGCCATTTCCAATGTAACACCAATAAGGGCGCTTGAAACGTTCCCTCTTCCATAACAAAATTACTTGCAAAAAAAGTCGTGCACCTGTATTCTTTGTTATCAGCATTAAACCACGTGCGTCTTGAAACCAATTATCTTTCTCAATAACACCCAGCGAACATAAATTTTGGGGTTAATTTGCTCTTCTACCCTACATGGTCTTCTGAAGGTTCAGAGAATTATGAGATTATGACGTTATATATAGAAATATGAACCGATATTTGCAGGGTCTTATGTACTTCAACTTCAACTTATGTACGTCAATGGGCATTAAATTATTTAATGCTCTTCCAAGTACACTTAGAAGTCAGGGAACAATAAAGTGCTTTAAAACTTCTTTAAAAAAATTTCTTCTAGTCAATGCACCATATACAATTGATGAATTTCTAAATTCTATTGATAAAAATTGCGGATCTCTAGTGTAATTTATATTGCATTCTTTCTTTTTTGTCCATTGTATTGTGTATGACCAACATTTTTTAAATTGTATTTAATTGTATTTTTTGTGTCTGACGTATCCTATGCAATTCAAAATTTGTCTTGGGAATTAATATATATTATTATTATGGTCGGTGTTTCTTGTGAGAACTCAGGTCTAGCCTGGTTAACTAATCGCACGGATTAAAATCAAGTAACGATTAGTGTCTGTGTCTGTGTCTGGTGAAGTTATGTAGGGTCCTTAAAAAAAAAAAAAAATAAAAAATAAAAAAATAAAAAAAAAATAAAAATCACACACGTACATTGGACATCTAGGGATAATGTAATTCGTACTTACCAACATACCTATTGATGGGCACAATAGCCAACGCTATCAGGAAAGAGGAAAACAAAACAAACAAAAAATCATTATAATAATTCCTGTAATTTTATTAAATGGAGTTTATTGTGTAAGTGTTTCTTTGGCTTTGCGTTTGGGTTGAATACGAGTGGGTTGTAATAACGTGGTGTGTTTCTGTGAAGAAGGAGTTTTGTGTTTTTTAATTGTATTTATGGTGTTTCTTTGTTCCTGAGGTCGTGTTTGTGAGGTTGCTTGGGTTTTTGGTGGAGATATTGCAGTATTTTGTGAGCCTGTGGTGCTGTTACGGTTTTTGCGTTTCGGTTGTATACGAGTGGGTTGTTTCTGAGAAGAAGGAGTATTGTGTTTTTTAACTTATTATTATTATTATTATTATTATTACTTAGTCATAGTTGTGTCGTACATTTTTGCTGTCGCATACCATAATATAATGATGTGATTTTTAGACACATGTTGGTACAACAACGATCTCAAGATAGTGACATGCATCCGCCTTCTGACGTACGAAGTTGTCACTGGCGATTGGAAAGTGGCATCGGTAGCGACTCAAATTTGAGTAAAAAGCGTGATATTGGTTTCATGAGAAAATCAACATTATTGAGACGGTTATGGGGTTCGTATAAGCCACTTTCGGAGCGAACTTCGCGATTTTCAAGTTCTTTTTATGATTGGCACTACGGAAAATCAAACGCCAGCTTGAACTCCAATACTTCTTCTCCTGAGCATGTAAAGTGCAAATGCAAATGTGGAAGCGAGGAGTTCAAAACGCCCCCTGTACCCCAAAAGGTCGTTAACACAAAATTACAACCCCAAGCTTCAGAACAGAAAATTCCGCCAGAAGAGTCTGCCAAATTGAAGTCACATTTTAGCTCTAGTCGATCACGGAAAACATGCCCTAGTTCATCATCATTGGAAAATCCAACAAGTTCCAACAATAGCAGGTCGAGCACAACGAAAAACACCAGCGTTACCGAGGCTGACTCAGAAAACTGTAGCACTACAACCACGGACAATTCTGATTCAGCCTACACCAACACTAATACTAACTTCACTGCCGCTTCAACCGATAACTCAACAGCGTACACAAGCGTATTTTCCGATCAGTTCATTGAAGAAAATGGAAATGTTGGCGAAACCGAATGTCAAAATATACCGCAAGTGAACAATAAGTTACTTCCTGAGGGATTAAATGATAATTCCACTCAGACTGCAACCACCACAAATTTAAATGTGATTTCTAACATTCAATTGAGCCAATCAACGCTAAACCTAATATTCAATCAGGTCATGCAAGACGCTCGAAAATCGTCGCACACTGACATTAATATAAGCGCAGTCAGTAGTCGTGACGTACCTACAGCAGAACCTCATGTTATCCAAGTCAAACAGGTGCCCAGCTTTTATTTAAAAACGGAAGAAGATAAAGTTGTCAACGCAGATCACCATCGGATCTTAAAATGCATGGTTAGCACTGCGCGAACTGATTTGTATGGAAAAAGCTCTGAAGTGCAAGGAACTGTTGTACCTAGATATTCAGCTGTACCCCGTACCACGTCGATGGAAGTCAACACTTCTTCGGCCGACTCGACCGACAAGGAAGACAATATTAGTTTAGTAGACAGCCTGGAAGGGTCATGTTCTCCGTATACAGATATGAATCTTAACAGCAGGTTTGATGATAAACCAGTCAGAGGAGACATTTCGCCTTTGTTACCAGACAATAGCATTAAATCCAATAAATATGAAAAGGCGTCGGTTTTCTTCATACCAATAGAGACTAATTCGAATACCGAAGTTAAGCCGGTGGCAGACCATCTACCGGATAAAGTGAGGGAACGGTTGTCTAATCGGCAGATTAGGCGTCAACAAAAGTGTCGCGAAACAAAGGACTCGGCAAAATCGGACAGCAATTACGTTAGTGCAAGTGATAATGGTCATCAGATGAACCTCGACAATAGTAAGCAAAGGTTATTAAATTCATTGCCCGACATTAACTCCAATAAGTGCAAGAAAAAAACCAAACCGCTACTGCCAAATATAGAATCAATGAAAAAAACGAAATGTAAAACCAGTCCAAAAAGTGAAGGTTTAGAAAAACCCAAGGAAAGGTCAAAGCAGAATAAGAAAAAAATCGGAAAACCTCAGTCAGACCAACACGAGAAACCGCCACACTGGATTTCAAAAACGCAACACACCGTTTTGGAACAGCTATCGCCGTTGTACATCACCAAGCGAGATTACGCCTACAGCGTTGTCCCCAATCGAATTTACCATAAGACTGAATTCACGAACTCAAATAAGCACATTGAAATTTTGGAGATTGTAGACTGCATCGAACCTTTGTCTCATCGCGAAAGTTCCCGACGACACCCCAAGACGAAACACTCCAAAATCCCGGTTTTGGTACAGTCGAAATTGCCAAGCATCTCCAAAAGTGTTAAAAATGAAAAGCCGAGATTTTTGGATTTCGAACAAGGCCAAGAAGATGACCCCAAAATTGACCAGCTAATTGCCAACATATTAATAGACGCTTTGAATAAGAACGAACCGCAAAGTTCACCCGAAGACAAAGCGAGCGACCACAAAGTCGAGAAACGTCCACCGGTGACCCCGCCCGCTCCTCTTCGACAATCCAATAAGTATCAACAGATATTTGAGGCGATCCCAGAGGAGCGCGCTTCGTTGAAATCCTCGTCTGAGGATGCTTCCGATCCAACTAAGCGTACCGAGAAAGAAGAGCGAAAACAGGGAGCAAGTGGAGAGAATGAGTCGTCCGTACCAAAAGGTTGGGTTACATTCTACACGGTTCCTAAAGGTGAAGACAGCACTTCTGAAGAAGGTACTAGTCTTTCACAAAAGTATCTGAAACTATAGTTGCACATAATTACAGAGCACTGAGTTCAATCAGTACCCAATTAGTTCAATTTTATTTAGGAAGGACGCATAAGTTGGTTGCTGATAGAACCGATTGTAAAGAAAATTTGAAATGCGACTACAACCAACACCTAAATTATACTATGGCCAGCCCTGATGATACGAAAGCACAGAATGTAGAGCAAAAGCTTAATCGTCAAATACATGTAGTTCCTTCAGTTATTCGTGATAGTTTCGATACGTGGAGTAGTAGCGATCAAGAAAAACATACGAAAATTCTATATCCTTTGCCATCGATTTATAAAAATCAACCGCAGAAAAAGAGCAGAGCGAGAAATTCACATTCATTCCCATCGAACAAATCAACATCTGGTAGGTATTTGTACAGGACACAAACAGAAACCCCCATAATTTTGCGTAGGTGAATGGACGGTGACCGTGAGCGGTGTAACGAGCGGACGAGACTTTGCACCCGATTTGGAAATGCGTCTCACATTTCCCCACAACAAAAAATCACTTCCAGATGACTCTGCTGCAAAAAAAAATGTTAGAAAGAAAGGTATTATACCTTTTCTTCAACTTTGTTAACCTACCAATAGGTGATTCTAGGCGCACCGGAGACTAATAAACATTCTGGGCAACTACCACACCTAAAGCAGAGAGGTGCCAAAACTACCAGGGTAATCTGAGGTAATTCATTTTAGCGATCATCCCAAATTGTTTTTCTAGTTGTGTGAAAGCGGCCATTTTGGATCAAACATTAGAGATTTTTCTATTGTGGAACCAAGACAAACACGTACAAGTACTAGAAGGCTTCTCTTAAATAGACCAAGAGGACATCTGTCACCTGGTGATTATCTAGAAATAGATACGGATAATAGGTATTGTCCAAAAGTACTAATTTTATTCGTCTTTATGGCGCATAGGGTTATTGTGTGTATTAATAGCATTCTTCTTACAGTCATATGGCGGAGATTCTTAGAAGAATTCCCGAATTATTGAAAGTCACCGGAAATGCTATTAGTCCTGAGCGCAAACCGCGAGCAGCCACCATGAGTGAAAAAGACCTTACTAAGCATGTGTACAGAAATTCGTAAATGTTATAAGTATTTGTAATTTCATATGAAATGTTTAATAAATGCATCTTAGTACCTGCCACACAAACTTTCTTATTGTGTCCAGCCATGTCAATGATACTATATCTGGAGAATTTTGACAGCAAAATCAATTTTTTCATCCACTTTACAGAGGAAGAGAGATAACAAACTGGGGAACTACCTATATTTTGGATTTCGTTGAATCTTTTAGAGCTTCTAACACAAATTTTACGTCATTTTGCCATAGCAAACTTACGACTAATATTTTAAATGATCAGTTGCGAATGGTGGACGAAAATGAAAGCAAATGCGAAATGTAGCAGAAGACGTTTCTGGGGCTCCCTCTTAGCATTCACCATCACTAAAGCCGCTTGGTGTAAAAAGAAAACCTGGGAAGCGATGTAGACCTCTGTAATCGCAGTCTGTTGGATCAATACTTTCAGTAAGTAACTATTTTTCATTAAAAGACGGCGCTGTGTTCTAGCTTCCAGCTCATGCTCCTCATTCCCAATTTTAAAACAAGTCACAGCATTTTTCATTAAATAAATGAGTGTGTAGGTAATAATTTCAAACATCGACATTCAAATTCGCTTCGAATTGAGAGCCTGCACTTTGAAATCAAACTGAAAACTCAACAATTCCCTTAATCTCAGTTTATTCTCCAATTTCCTTCTATAAATTCTTACTCTAGGATCCATAGAGGCAAATCAGTGTGGAATTCTGGTATACAACTTCTTTGAATTCATGGAACTATTTTGGAATTCTTATAGAATTTATGAAATTGGTAGCTCGAAAACTAGTACCTTTACTATGCTACTACTAGTGATTTTACCAAACATTCGGAGATCGTGGAGGACGCCGAGGAGGGTTTTTCTGCTGTGGTGCGATTAAAAGTGATAACTTCGAGACGCCCTCTGGTTTTCGCGTTTTGCAACTTGGACGTCCTACGGAGATGAAACCGTCGGTAGGTTGAGGGGAGGAAACGGCACAAGATCCGCGAACGGGCCTGCTTCCGAGTTTTTGTTTTCTTTACCGTTTAGAACGTGAAGGTGTACGGTTTATAATTAATTTTGCGCCTATTTTAAAAGTGAGAGTCTCGAGAAAGGTCTCAAAAGTTGAATTATTTTGCAGTTTTGGAAGTCATGGAATTCTGGAATTTTTTTACACTTTTGGAATTCTGGTGTACTATTTTTGCTCAGCGCACCATTCATAGGAAATTAAACTGAAAACTTAGCAGTTACCTTCATTTTCGTTCAAATAAGTTCGAGTTGTGAGTAGGGAATGCAATACCGGGATTGCGGGATCCCGAAATACCGGGATCCCGAAATACCGGGATCCCGCAGCAGTTTTGCGAGATTAATCCCGCACATAAATGGAGCGGGATCCCGCGGGATTTGCAGGACTGAGGAATTTGTCGACCAAGGGAACGACTCTGTTTACTTTGTTAATGAAACTGACAACGGCGAATTATTTTTTAAATAATTGTTAAACTTTTTTCGTTAAAAATGTACAATGATTTTTGAGGCACCTTAGAAGACTTTTTGTGCTTTACAGGTAAGGTTTTTTTGAGGTCTAAGTTAGGCCGAAAGTACTTTTTTGTTAAATATTGTGATAATTAGCGATTTATTTTAATACAGAAGTTAACCGCACAGAATTGCTTATTTGACAATTTATTTAAAGTTTTGCGAGATCCCGCAAATTCCGGGATCCCGCGGGATTAACATCTAACAATCCCGCAAATACCGGGATTGAGATTTTCCTGCGGGATTGCATTCCCTACTAGAAACCAATTTCGAAAGAAAATTCAAAGGGCTGTAACTTTTGAACTAGTAGCCCAATCTTGGAACTGTTTGAAATTATGGATTCTACAAGCCACATTCTATAAGAAAAATTTTTTCCGGGTCGATCTAGGACAATTTTTTCTTCGGGGCTCAAAAAAAGGCAGTGTATAACCTTCCTTTTTTACCAAAAATCGACTACACCAAAATTTCTCGGGAAAACACATTTTCTTATTAATTTTGGTGCGTAGAATCCAAAACAATTCGTACTTTTTCGATCAGACTTCTCAATCAAAAGTTATAGACTAGAAACCAATTTCGAAAAAAAATTCAAAGGGCTGTAACTTGTGAACTAGTAGCCCAATCTTGGAACTGTTTGAAATTATGGATTCTACAGGCCACATTCTATAAGAAAATTTTTTTCCGGGTCGATCTGAGACAATTTTTTTTAGGGCCTCAAAAAAAGGCAGTGTACAACCTTCCTTTTTTACCAAAAATCGACTGCACCAAAATTTCTCGGGAAAACACTTTTTCTTATTAATTTTGGTGCGTAGAATCCTAAACAATTCGTACTTTTTCGATCAGACTTCTCAATCAAAAGTTATAGACTAGAAACCAATTTCGAAAGAAAATTCAAAGGGCTGTAACTTTTGAACTAGTTGCCCAATCTAGGAACTGTTTGAAATTATGGATTCTACAGGCCACATTCTATAAGAAAATTTTTTTCCGGGTGGATCTGAGACAATTTTTTTTTCGGGGTTCAAAAAAAAGCAGTGTATAACCTTCCTTTTTTTAAAAAAAATCGACTGCACCAAAATTTCTGGGGAAAACACTTTTTCCTATTAATTTTGGTGCGTAGAATCCAAAACAATTCGTACTTTTTCGATCAGACTTCTCAATCAAAAGTTATAGACTAGAAAAGAAACCAATTTCGAAAAAAAATTCAAAGGGCTGTAACTTTTGAACTAGTAGCCCAATCTTGGAACTGTTTGAAATTATGGATTCTACAGGCCACATTCTATAAGAAAACTTCGATCGGTCGATCTGAGACAATGTTTTTTGAGGGCCTCAAAAAAAGGCAGTGACAACCTTCCTTTTTTACCAAAAATCGACTGCACCAAAATTTCTCGGGAAAACACTTTTTCTTATTAATTTTGGTGCGTAGAATAATCCAAAACAATTCGACTTCTTAATACAAAGTTATAGACTAGAAACCAATTTCGAAAGAAAATTCAAAGGCCTGTAACTTTTGAACTAGTAGCCCAATCTTGGAACTGTTTGAAATTATGGATTCTACAGGCCACATTCTATAAGAAAATTTTTTTTCCGGGTCGATTGAGACAATCTTTTTTGAGGGCCTCAAAAAAAGACAGTGTACACAACCTTCCTTTTTTACCAAAAATTGACTGCACCAAAATTTCTCGGGAAAACACTTTTTCTTATTAATTTTGGTGCGTAGAA